TTTATCAGCCGGAGAATGAGAGAATACAGTAACATGTTTAAAGCATATCCTTGATTGCGTCTAGTTAGAGAGTTGATTTTACCAGTTCGGTGATAATAGCTGGTACGAAAAAGTTAGGACATCGAGCAATTGCAGATATTTTGGTATGTGAGGTTTGAGTAAGGAGCGAAAGACGATTGAAAAAACGTTGTTTATGAGGGCATCGATAGTGTTTACCCTTCGTGCTATCAACCACGATCAGCTCGCCTTTGGTCCCCTTAGACAGGTATCACACACAATACGGAGAGCAGATCGGGTCAAACTTTTTCCTTGCGTTTTGGCTGGTTAGAATCGTTAGAGGTTTTCATGTTAATGGGGACACTGGCGCATTGCGCGCCACTTCACGCGCGCCACTTCACGCGCGCCACTTCACGCGCGCCACTTCCATTCAAAAGAACTTGTCATTTTAGCATCATAACACTGGTTATAGGAAATCATAGTTTTAACAGAGGCGGCTTTGCCTGAAAGAAAGCTCATAGGAGTATTTTTTATCAGATCGAAGGTAGAGGCAGAGAAGCAGCAAAATACGAAGGTAAATCAGTTGTACGGTTGCGGTCACATTAAATTGTCAAATAGATACAAAAATCGACGAGGATTTTCAAAGCCTTCTATCTTGCAGCCCTGTGCAATTGATTGAGTCAGTTTGATTTTATCCCATGCAAGAAGATAAGATGGATCTCTCCGTTGGTCGAATACTCTGGGCTATGCGGTATATTATATATCATTTGGTTCTCATATACAGCCATGCACGATATATCTTACCATATTGTGTTTTACTGAGCTAGTTATGGGGACAGTTAGAAATAATCCGCCTTGGACTTACATGAATACTTCACGAGTCCCTTACATGTTGCTAACAGAAAAAGTTGTACTGAGCTATTTTCACATTATTAACGGAAAAAAAAAACGGGGAAAATGTACATTTTGCAAGGTGGGAAGTAACTCCATTAGATTTGACGGAATCTTTTTCCAATACTTCGACCTGATTATTTCTTATTCCTGAACAACGTAAAGTCCGACATCCCCTGCTCGAAAGGCAAGAAGGAGATCAAACGTCGTAATGTAAGACTTGCTTGATTAGGCTGAATAAACCTAAGACAAATATATGATACGGTGAACATAGGGGGAAAAAGTTTTTCGAATTAACTTGTGTTGGCCGTTTCCCGACTCGAAGAGTCATGCCATAGACATATCTTTTCGATGTTGCTCTGAATTAATATTTAACGCTTTTTTTCAGGTGTTTGCATTAGAATAATAATACGTCGAGGGAGACAAGAACAGCGAGGACATGGATTTTCGTGCCGACATCTGCCCTACTTTCATGACCTGGGCCATTTCTCATGGCAGACATCGTTGCAATCTTCGACACCCATCGTACAGATATCTTGAGCGGCCAAAGCAGAAAGCATCCAGTCCTCAGCCAGCAAATGAAGAGCCAAAACCGCGACAACCAAATTCTTACGCAACCGTCTTAGCGAAAAACAAACCTACAGAACCTAAAAAATTTTGCGTCGACTTACGTAGCGACCGTATAACGAAGAATACTTTGGAGGAAGAATGGCCAGCTCTTGGATCGCCTGAACAAGGACTGACTATCAAAGGTCCGGACGAGAGATCCAAAGCTACGGCAGATCAACTTGAAAACGATAGATTATTCGCAGAAAACTTACAAGATAGCGAATACACGCAGTTTAGCGAGTAGGACGAGAACGACGAAGATAATTACAATCCAGAAGAACAGAATGAAAAAAACTTCTGAGAAACGAAGAAGATAATTACAATCAGGAAGAAGAAAGTTATGATGACAGCAACGGAGATAATTGCAATCCAGAAGAACAGGAAGAAGAAACTAATGAAAAGAACGAATTTCGTTTGACGGGCACCACGAGATAGAGCTAACCCATACAGAAGCGAGCCGAACACTACCAAAGATTTCCCGCATGTGTGACATCTGCATGGATCGACCGAAAGACGCGACCCTAGTTTGCGGTCACAGGTATTGCTACCAGTGTGCGCTTCAGATGCGGCTCGATGAACGCGATTGTGCCATTTGTAGAAGATGCATTGTGTCTGTAATCGAGACTTACAACTGAACGCTAATGAGCATGTTTGTGAAGAGAGCAGCCACCCGTATTGTCTGTACGGACGCGAACACAATAAGTGAGATATAAAATCAGTATTTTCAGTAAGAACTGTTTAGCTTGTGTTAACGCTGAGTTTCATAGGGAAATTGGCATGAACTACGCTGCACCAACGTCTTTTCGCTGGTGCAGGCCGTTTGAGATTTCCGACCCTTTAGGACTCCCGCCATTTTAGATTGCGTTATTTTGGAATTTCGCGCCAATTTGGACTCCTCGCTGGAGCTTCCGCGTGCGCGTCACATCACACAAATCCCAGCACGGCCCTTTAATCTTTAATCTTTACTAAATATACTCCTAAAACAGCATAACTATACAAGGAGTTTCAAAGCAAAAATAAATGAATAAATAACTAAGAAGATATAACGAAGAGACAAAATTCTCTGTTACTCCGAGTTTCGTGCTCACGCACTCATCAGACAGTATTTAAATACTGTCTGATGAGTGCGTGAGCACGAAACTCGGAGTAACAGAGAATTTTGTCTCTTCGTTATATCTTCTTATTCAAAGCTCTACACTTAAAAAGTGTATTGAGCACTGTTTAACGGCTTTAGCCACTTTATTACATGAATAAATAACTATAAAAATATATGTACATATGAACACGCAATGAAATATTATTTTGTCGCTAAGACCTGTTGCGTGTGACGTTGAGACATATTTCGGCTTTGGATTTTGCGGGAAAAAAAGACTTAATTTAAAAAAGTTGCTGTCATGCTAAAGCATGAGTTAATTAAGAGTCGTTTTCAAACAATTCGTGCTAACATACTTTTTAATAAGTTCTTAAATACAATGTAAATATCTGACCTTAAAAGTCTCACTCGAACGAGCATTTCTTTGAAAGACATCCCTTTTCCTTGGCTTCTTTGAATTTTTCCCAAAGGGATGGACCATTATAATTTTGAGAGTGTCGAGTTTCTGCACTAGAAAAAGTGGCAAAGAAGATCGTGTCTGCGAATCACGTAAAAGATTTACACGAGGAATTTAATCATTCCATCATTTGCGAGAATTTTAAGAATAGCAAGGACTGCAAATCTGTTACTGAACTCTCGGCTTCTTCACGCTTAGCTGAATCATTTTAGAAAGTGTAGGGCCATTTTTCGTTAGTAATTAAACTTTGGAGAGAGTTTTGTTTTGCCCCCTTTCCGAGCAGATCAAGGTCAAAATGAGTCCTCGTTTGTCTGGGTAGAGTTTAGGAAGACTTTAATTATGAGTCAGCAAGGTTGTTTAATTTTTACGGTCTGTGATCAGTATCTTTCGTTTCTTCTGCTGCGTGCTGGTGGACGGGAAAAGAATCTAGCCAGGGAATACTTATTTTACCTTGTTTTTGGTTAAAAATTACTATCAAATTTGGTATAGAATAGTGTTGTCATTCAGTAACTTTTTGAGAAGGGCTTTAGTTGCAAGTAAGAGCAAATACGTTGTCGATGGTTACGATAAAGCTCTTGGCTCGCCGTTGGTCCCCTTAAACAGCTGCCATTATCGTTCAGGTACTACACACAATACTGAGATAAGAGCATATCGGGGTCAAAATGTTTCTTTGTGTTTTGGCTGGTTAGAGTCGTTAGAGGCTTTAGATAATGGCAGCCCGCCACTGCTTTCAATAAGCAAAGATCGTCATTCAAAGGGCTACACGAAAATTTGGTTTATCAACGGAGTTGATAAATGTGAATTGACCACCGTACAGAGATTGAAAAGCTGACGTTTCGAGCGTTAGCCCTTCGTCAGAGCGAATCGATTTTCGTGTTTCACTTACCCACCGACGCAGCACCACAGTTTCTTCAGAAACTACTGAACCCCCTTTATTCAAAGGGCTAGTCACGAACCCTGTAGGAAATGAAATATTAATTTGATTGTTTGACACATGTATGCACGCTTAGGGAAAAAAGATCCTGCAGAACCTCTAAAGTAAAACTTGATAAACCAAGGAATGTTACGTAATTTTATGGGTAATCTTAATCGAACTAGCCTTGTTAACAACTGATTTATTATGAATAACACGTTTACTTGCGGGAACCAGCGGTAAATGACATGCGTGATGAAAACTGGCACAAAAATGTTAGGATGCAGATATTTGAAAGAAATGTTGAAAGCTGACATCTTGATTAGTTGCCAATTCTTTCCCTTGAATATTAAATTTATAAAGCTTAGATAAGTCAGATTTAGTATGCTTTGAATCAACACAAAATTCTTCAGAACTCACAGTTGCTTGATGAGATGGATCCATCCTTGAACAACTTTCTGGTATTTGCCGTAGGGGCAAGATCATCTATGGCTCTAGCCTTCCCATTGATCGTTCTTGGTGTCTTGGAAATAGGATGGTAGTGACCTGCATTGTCCGGATCTGGCTAAGGTGCAGGAATTCGTGAAAACTTTGGCCCAACCCACTCTGCCTTTCCGTACCTGTTGCACAGCATTTCATCTTTCTTCAGACATCCTTCTCTCACATACTCCATGTAATCTTTGTAATTTAATGATATTCAGGAACAGATTTCTTTTGTGTAAGGTACGTCCTGTTGAAGAAAAACGTGTTCGTCTTTTCTGTTACAAAGCACTAAATGAACTCATTAAATACTGGCGCACCATCAGTTCGTTTGGAAATTTCTCCTGCACAGTGCCAGCGCCGGCGTTTTTCTCCATCCTCTGCCTCTCGTGCTCTTCATATTCTTTCAAAGTAAGGGTGCTAATTTCTTCATCACTTAAGCCATCAAATTTCTTGTACTGCTCCCACTGAATGGTTGAGCAATCAACAATACTGTCTCCGATAGCGCTGTTAGTTCTTTCAGCTTCGTTGTCAGCGGAGTTCTCTCGGGAGGGGTAAGCTAGAATGCGATGGTCACTATTATGAATTAATGCCAATTCTGCATCCCTGAATCTCACCTCGAAGTTACTGCAGCCGACTCCTGGACCAGCATCTGTGAAATCGGCCCATGTTGGCTTCACAGGTGGCAACTTCAACTCTGCAAGTTTCTCTAACAGTCCATTGCAAGTTGCAATGTATGTGCTGTACTGTTTTTGCAAGTCAGCCGTACATGCATGTGGTTTTATTATAAAAAGTGTGAGCATTTCTAATTTTTGAAATTTTCTAAAGCATTTTTGGGATGAACAAGAGTGTATAATAATTACTGAGACTACATTTGTTACATCTGTAAACCACGTGATACAGTTGAGTTGCACAGGTCATTAAATTGTTGAGTTGAAAACCATCCGATCTGTATGATGAAGTCATGTGTTGGTTTTCACGTATACAAATTTTTGGAGGCCCCCCCCCCCCTCCTAGCCCAACTGTTTTTTCAGAGCCCCCCTTCGGGTGTCTTAAAAATTTTCGGAGGCCCCCTCAATATCTTCACCCCCCTTGTCATATTAAATGAACTTTCCCTTAGAGCATGTTTTTTTTAATCTACAATAACCTCGCACGTTGGAGAGCTGTCCTCAGAGTTTTCCAGGTTTGTACTTTGGACTATCTGACAAAACAGTAAATCTGCCTCATTAAAACAGAGAGACACCGAATGTCCCCTTTTGTTTGACTGACTCTCACTGTTAAAATATAATGAAACGATCAACAAGTACAGAGTCCGATTCGTAGAATCTCAATCATGGAAATCCGCGAAAATGATGAGTTTTCTACTCACCGATGGATACAATTCACTTTCTGGCTCAAAAGTATATAACATTGTAGATTTTGGACTGCAATCCATTAGAGTTTCTACTAAAATCTAATATATCTTCTAAAATTCGGTAAACTTTACTAAAATGTAGCTGGGCTCCCGAATGTCATGGAATGTAGTGAATCGTTGCTGATTATTGATTATTTTGTGAGTGCGCTATTTATGGATGAAATACGGCCGGAGAATGACTATCTCTAATCTGCAGAGAAAGTTACCCACTATGAGGATAATGAGACTGCTATTATATTCTTTTGGTCCCCGCAATCAAATGATCCCACGAATTTATCAGAGTAGCGATCTGTGTGAAATTAGACAACGCCGCGGTCAACTGAGAAGTTTGTTTACCCCTTGGCGCTTCCGTGGGAGGATGTTTTGACAGGTGAGGAGCTGCTGTTTTGACTACTCAAATGTTTTTTTCTTTTTTTCGCCAGTCAGGCATAAGCATGCGATACCTCGATACCTCTCTATAAAGCCTTCCCGCAGCACGTACAATTAATTGACTGGGAGTTGTTGGACGAGCACTGTGGGGACTCAACTTCTAGTTCTACAAGTTGTCACTCCTCTACCACTCCAATGTGAACTGAGCGGTATGCAGGTATGTCCTTTATGTTGGATAGTTTTCGCGATCGTATCACTTCCACGTTCTTTTAACAGACTTTCGGCAAATTAATTCGAGGATAAATAAAGTTCATGTATGTATTTATGTATTTAGCAAATAATAGACGTGTAAATACAATTTTGATATGCAGGTTGATCCACGCACATAGTACTTGGCAAAAATGGAAAAAATCTAAGGCGTTTTCCTAGCAGTAAATGGAGTTTTCGAACTGTTTATTTGTTTTACTCTATATAGAATCTGGTATAACTTGGAGATGGCTGGTTTTAGCTCCGCTGTAACATGTTTTAATTTGTTTCAGTTCGCCGATCCGACGTGAGATGCAGCGTAGGATGACAAGGACCAGGCAACTGCGCTCAGCGGTGAGTTCAAATTATATACAGAAACTAGGGTTTATCTGTTCGTGAATGTTTGGAGTGTCACTAGATGATCCGTCCAAGGTTTTCTAGACATTTTATACGCAAGATGATTATTTTTTCTTCCGAAAGTATCGATCAGATTGTGGATTTTCTTTTGAGCGCGGGAATGTCAGTCTTCCCGCCAAATTGACAGGGCTTACTAAGGAAAGAATTAATTGGCTATTAATCTAAGCCAATAAGATTTGCTCTATTATTGTACCAAACATGGCGAACGGGAAATCAACCGCCATCATGGTGCAACAGTGTGAGAGCGTAACACGCTGTCACACTGTTGTACCCTGATGGCGGTTGATTTCCTGTTACAAATAAATCAGGGAAGAAGTAAAGAGGGAATCTATGGTGGACTGTCACTCGTTACATAAAGGAAAAGTCGTTATTTTGGAGTGGCCAAGCAATAGACTGACTAGAGTACTCAGCTGGAGGTAAATTAATCTTAAGCTTATTTTTTGATAGCAGAAATGGATTTATTCTACCCTGGGTGCCAGAGCGATATTTTTTAGCGAAGCTGCGATTGTGAGCGACGAAGCCGCGATCGAGATCGTTTCCGAACGTAATTTCTAATTGTGTAGGTGCTGTAAACAAGAAGACCTTCGTTAGCTTGTTTCGGCACTTTCGTCCTTGTTTAATAGGCCTAACTTTTTTATTTAAATTCAGGAGTGACCAGAGCTCTCAAGTCTCACAGTTTTGCCGTGAGACACGGTTTTTAGGGCAATCCCACGGTCTCACGATGAGACACAAAAATATCACGGTGAACAAATTCACAAGCCGATGGAATACACTTTCCTTGAATATTTTCAATTTTGCTTTGTAAAATTTTTGACAAGACATAGGCCTCAAAACGGTGATGGACGAAACATTGACCCCCAGTCCATGGAGTACCCTAAATTACATAATACCTCAAGTTATTCTCGCATTTTGATTAGTTCTTGCTTAGGCCTGTACCCGTTTTAAACGTCGAATTTCACATGTGGCAAAATTATCTAAATTTATGCTGATGAGAAAAATCTATTGTTTTCGCTCATTTGCATTAGATTCGGCACATGTGAAATTTGACGTTTAAAACGGGCCTTAGGATCTACCAGAGGACAGACGAACGAATGATGTCATCCTTTCAAAGGGAAACAGGTTGTTTTGCCCCAGGTCGTTTCGCCACAACTCAAAGTAGCTTTGCCCCAACTTAAAGACGTTTCGCCCCAACTTTAAAGTCATTTTGTTTAAAGTAATTTGTAACATATTTACAAATTACTAGACGAATAAAATGTCACATTGTTAAGATGAGGCTGTTGGTGATGTTTTACTCTCCCCAATCTCTCTTTCCCGCCCACACCATGTTGATGATGCGCTGGTTGATCGATGGCCGATCGTATAATCTTTGTAAAACTTAATTACTGGTAATGCTTAATAAACCTTCCATGGCCTTTTACCTGTAGAGTATCAAATGCCATTTAAACCTGTTTTTTTAAACATTTGCGTGGTTAAAGAGCCATTGAGTCTAAATTTATTTTTTAGATTGCACACGTAGAAATTTTTGAGAATTATATACTAGGTACCGGTACTTTTTAATGCGACTGGGGAGAAACAAGGTACAAAAAATGTCTTGTTGAGGCATTGAATAGGTACAAAAGTCTGGAAGAAGAATGAAAAAGCTGTTTCTTTACTAGAAAATGACTCCGAAAAAATACTTGAGCAGTCTCAGTCAGCAGTTAAGTGAGACTAAACCAAACACAAAATTGGTCTTGGAAATAATTTAAGTAAGAAACCACTGCTTTGTCTCGAATTGAACAAAACCAATTCATTGATTTATTTAAAAAAATTCAAGTTTTCTCAGTCTCAAAATGATTGTTGACACAATTTGATTCATAGCCTGCGAACGCAGACATTTCCGGCTATCGCTTGTCTCCTGCCGAAAGTTAACATCTGTGAACCCGAGTCAGGAAACGATTTCTGTGATGCAATGACTTTTGATTCTCCTTAGCCAATCAGATTCCATGACAGAATGACACTTGAGTGCTCCTCATAGCGAATACCTTGTGCAGTAGTTCTGGGGCTACTTGAGCTAAACTGCGATTGGCGTTACAGAGATCGTTTCCTGGCTCTGGTTCTCAGACGTTATTTTCGGCAGAGACAAATGACAGCCAGAAATACGTCATGTTCGCTATCCAAATGCATGTTGCTGTCCATCTGTTGAGAACACAAAAGAAAGCTGAAAAGTTTGTATCAATAATGCTGTGAAAGCAATTCCTCTATAAGAGAATGCTAATTTAATAAGCAATACATTTGGTTGAACTAGTGATAATTATTGCAACCTTGTTCCCAGGGTCCTCTCTCTACCTCAAGAAAGTAAATGGTTACCCTGGTTATGGCTGGTCACATGCGTGCTAGATTTTAGCAGATGATTGAAGGGAGGGACTGGAAAGTTAAAGTTTGTCTCCACTGAGCTCACCTACTGAACCCAGTAGGGAGCAAAATTTGTAACCCCCCCGTTGTGGATCGGCAAAACTCACAGCGAAGGCTGACACATTCGATGTTGGAGTTCAATGCATTCAATGCTTGGCTAAAAGGTTAGCTCTGCATTTGGCTGAATTTTTCCTGTCGACAGTTGGATGGTCTTTGGAATTCTTTGGGTGTGAAAAACTTTGGCAAAGAACTTGGAAATGACAACCACAACAATAAATGGACCGCACAGTGAATTTAATTTTCTTTTTCACTCGGCGAAATCACAACGTACTCATTCATTTAGAGTTAAATACGTCGTACGTGCACCTACAAAGGTAGTTTTGGATTTGACTGAATTATTCCCATCAACAGTTTGACTGTCATTTCCTTGAACTTGACATCAACAACGTCTGCGTGCTGAATAAGCTTGATTAAGCAGCTTATATTTTTCGATTGGCAAAATCACAACAGAGGCATTGATGCATTTGTTTAGAGTTTGATACGTCCAGTGTTTGGCAAAGAGACTATAAGCTTTGAATTTGATTGAATTCATGCAATCGAAAGTTTGACGGTCATTCGATTCTCTTGCAGTAAAAAATTTTGTTGAACATTTGCAAAATCCAGCGGCTTTCGTTTTAAAACTGTTTAGTGGTAAATCCAATTCTCAGTCAACAAAGTAGCTCCTGCTTGAAAGCATCCCATCGATAATTTCACGGTTATTTAAATCTTTTGGTGTGAGAAACTGATTAAACTGATCCCTTGCAGGTTGTTGACGGTTATTTAAAAAAAGCAGTGAAATGTAAGCAAAGTTCCCTCTCAATCAACATCTCACACTCACAGAGGTTCAGGTTGAGATGAAGCACTGGTCAGGCAGGATCTCTGACAAATAACTTGCTTCCCTTTCAAAATAATGTCTGTGTAACAGTGGAACATTCACCTCCCTAGACAGTAATGACAAAATTAAGTTGAGAACCCACCCTCTGTGTGGCTTGGGTTGGCATGCATAGACACCTAACCAGCTGTAACCAGGGTACTTTCTTGAGGAAGAGAGAGGACCCTGGGAATGAGGTTGGTGATATTGTCATACGTACTGTGGATAAAAAAGTCCATAATTTTGATCTTGTCCACATTTGTTCCATAGCGCATGCAGTTTTGGTTAACATGCTACTAAGTCTTATTCAGGAAGACTTTTGATTGAGACCTTTGTGCAACCCAAAGGACAATATCATTGCTTCTGAGTCATTATAATCACCCTGAAGAACCATTCGTGGACTCTTCTTGATGCTAATTATTCCTTACCGTTTCAAGCTCTTCAAAAGTGTATTTTGGTTCTAAGAACAAAATTTTGCTGCCTAGGAGAAAACCATGACACACAAGGCCATGTTTGTTTTCAATCAGCGTGAGCTAAAAAAACTTCCCCTAGAAATCTCTGGGGCATGGGAAAGAGGCAAATAAGATCAAGCTCTGACCTAGGCTCTCATGCAGACTTTACCTTACCCATTTTAATTTGCAAGATTTTCTGGAATATAAAAATAGGTTGCTAATTTGAAGTTCACTGTCACTTTTAAGGAACCTTGTGAAAGATTTCAAGGCGAAGACCAAGAAGACTTTGAAGAAAGGTTCATTAATGAATTCATAGGTAACATTTGAATGCCTAGTTTTTTTTTAGCTAAATCCCATGTACTATAATGCTCTTGATAATAAATTCTGCCGGGAGGGTTATTTTATAATAAGGGTCGACATGCTATAATACAAGCTTACTACCCTGTGAGTGATTAGTTTCCAAGCTTACAGTATTTAAAATCAAGTGATGTACATGTAGCATCTGTTCCAGCCCAAATTGGCCTGAGGGGGGAGCGATGGCCTTTGTTCCACCTCTGACTTCATCACCTTTGCCCAAATAAGGCATCATGTATACTCAAACTCTTCAGAAGGAAAAGGCCTTGCTAGTAATACTTAAAGTAGATATCTTTATCTTAGAGGATAACTGCTGTTTTTTATTTGAGTAAGGGGTAAATTCCACACCGAGGGTAAACTGTAACACTGACAATATTATACTACTGAAATCACTTAATTGTTAGCTCCCTTTAATATCATTCGCATTTGAATTTAGGGCTTACCCTCATGAAAATTTTCAGCATCCACATGTTTCACAACTGATCACACATTTTCACCAACTTTTGGGGACTTCTTTAATGACTCCAGCTAGAGCTATGGTTTAGATGCCATAAAGAGCTGATTTAAGGGGTCTTTTTTCTGGAGACCTCAAAATGTCCCCACTAACTGAACAGACCCCACAGTTCTGATGTGTTTCCATATCCTTGTCCCCGTAAGTAGGCTGGTGTGAATGCATACAAACGAAATATTAAATTCTTTCCTGACACATATTTGGTCATTAATGTCCTACATAAATGCAGCAATCACATTTTAAAGGTTCTCTTCGTTTGTAAGCCAGATATGCTAACAAATTGAATGGTTTTCCATGGTTAACAATAATTATGTGTCCAATGAAGACAGATTACAACACTATTGCCCCTATCGGATGTCATCTGAATAAAACAATTTTTTAATGGTGTTTGCAATGTGCCAATGGTTGCTATAACAATGGTACAGTGCTGCTAAAAGATACGTTAAAGCTCTGAGTTTTTCAAAAGCAACTTAAAAATCAATTCAGTGACCTAGTATTTTTTTTTAAATATTATTTAGAAAAACCCATCAAAATAATTCTCTAGATAGTCTAATACATGATAGGAGAAAAATCAATACTGTAGAACTTGATTTACTTAGGAAAGAGCTGTAGGAATTGAAGTCTACACTATAGATTTTTTAGAATTTTGTTAGTTTATGAATGCGAAATAACGAATCTTATTTGCATACAAAAATTTCAGGGTGGGTCACCAAGCTAACTTTTGACATTCAAGCTTTATTTCTGGTTATCGCAATTTACACTCACATTTCTGTTTCTGGTGTTGTGTTTTGAAGAATTAATGGCTGACTTGACAGCTCATCCTCACGAGCGAAAAGCTTCACACGTTCTTGTTCAGAGAACATGTACAAGAGCATTTCTGAAATTGGATTTCACATTGTTCTGTGAAGTTATGATGTGCAAACATTCCAGAAGATAATCATTGCTTGAGATTCAGACTGCTTACCGTGATGACTGTTGTAAATGTCAAAGTATTATGGAGAGAATTCTCTTGTTGGATGCCACTATTGAGGAAACTGATTTATTGATCCAGACATGTTGATTAGTAGTTGTTACACTGGTGCCAAATCGCCAATGCTAGTTCTCCGTACAATCCATTCAGATCATATATACCGGTATTTTTCATAAAGAGCTTGGAGTGTGTTATATAGAAAAGATTAGCATGTGCCATTTTCTGGATCAATTATGTTAAATTTACTTGAGGAGGCCATATTTACAACTTGCACATGAATGCCATTGTGCGTGGTATCGCATGTTTTTCTTATACATGTTATTAATATTGTAGGTAATAATTTTGCTTGCGTGCATCTTGGGATCCATTCTCAGCACTGCCAAAAAACCCTTTTGAGCCTCCTGAGCTGCAGAAGGATTTAATCTGCACCAGTTTCACTCATTGAAACAGATTAAAAAGTTGTGACCATGGAATTTATCTATTTATCACCAGGCGAGCCAAAACCCTGTGTGACCAGCCTTTGTGACTTTCCTTTAATTTTGATAGCAATATTAATTAATGCATGTGGCCAATCTGTAAGTAGTCTGTATTTTGTACCTCAGTCTGCATTTTACCACTGGCCAGTGACTGCAGTCTGCAGTTTGCATTTGAATGGTGAGCAATTTTCCATCCCTGCGGGCTAGGCTCCATGGTAAGATTGTCCCAAACTACTGATGCTCTCTTGGAAAATAATTTTTTAACTGAAAACAAAGAAATCCAGTTGAAGGCCAACAAATGTAGCTATTTATGATTATACAGCTATGTTATTTTAGGTTTAATTTTCCCTACATTATTTTCTGTAACAATGCATTTGTATAATGCCACTGTAAGTTTCAAATCGATCATTGTTCAAGCTTCTGTATTGTCCACATGCACACTTTTTGTTACATGTAGATAATTATAAATCTTGTATAATTATATTTATTATGTTGTTGTTTCTTTAGGGAGAGGCGTGTTCACAACAAAAACGTTTTCCAAAGATGATTTTCTTCTAGTCTACAAAGGAGAACTTGTTACAGCAGATGAAGGATATCGGAGAGAAGACTCGTATCATCCAGATTTGGGAAGCTTCCTCTTTTTTTTAAAGATGGTATCAAGTGCTTTTGGTAAGCCTGCTAGGAATACAGTCTTTCTTTCGAAACACTGACAAAATAAAAATGGTCAGTATAAAAATTTTTATATGGGCAGCAGCCAGGGGACGGCCGCCGGGGAGGCCATTGTTGATACAGGAGGTCCCTGGGTCCCTTCCTAGATCACTACATGTACACAGCTGGATGGACCAGAGATTTGAGCTTACTGACAGTCTTACATTCATACGGCTCATATAAGGTATCAGTATACCCCAAATGACCATAATTTGTTCGTGCCACATTTCATGCAAACCCCAGTAAAGTATATATTTTCTGAAAGCTTAAGAATTGTAGAAATTACGAAGGTATATTCATTAAAATGAAAAAGTTAAGGCTTTCTGAATATAGCATCCTTATAATTTCCCCAAAGTACATGTACAAAGGTTCACTAAACAAGTTTGTTTCCGGTTGAATTCAAGTGGGAGGACGTGACCAACATTGCTACATGTGACCCGACTGGCTTGGTCTAACATGTGATTGCAAAGAGGGAGCTAACTGCTGCAACTTTTGCGTTTTCACAACTAGTACTATTCAAGACTAGTGGAGACGTATAATAATCGCTCAGATTGAATAGAAACCAGAGCCCATATAATTATATGGCTGCAGGAAAAACCGAAAAACCACATCAGATGCCAAATTAAAAAAACTCCTAGTATTTTTGATGAAAACTGAAAAAGCAAATGCTAAGAAATGGAAAATCTGCAAACTGCAATGAAAAGCGATCTCAAAAAATAGCCAAAACTGCACAGGACTCAAGCTTAACTTTTGTTACCAGTGGGGTGTCTTGAAAACAAAGACCCCTAAGACCCCAAAACTTGATACCATGGGTGCATTTTGCAGAAACGAGTGCTTTGTTTTTGCGTGGCTTCTGAAGGATTTGTACTGACGGCATGTAAGAAGAAAATGTTTTGTCCGCAGTCTCCAAACTAAGAGAGTTATCTATTTGATGAAAACTCCATTTCAACTACACCATATTTTAAGCTACACAATATTTTAATGTCTTTACACGTGGAATCTGACTCTTATGATCGCTCAGGAGTGGGAATGTATTCATGCAAAAAATCGTCTTGAAAAACTCGTGTTTTTGTGTTTTGCTGTGAAGGAACAAATTTATTGACACTATTTTGGTGAACACATTTTCCATCTGATGACTGAAATATTTTTCAGTCGCAAGTTGGCGCCTGCCTAAAAAAATTTATTTCGGACCCTGAGTACTCCTCTCCCAATACTCCCAGAAAAATCACGTTTTTTGAGGTGAAAAACATCACTTTTTTTTTTCTTTTCCGTGTAATTTTTCATGTGGACAATAATCATAACACTTTACATTATTAAGTTTAAGTCTTTTGTTCGTACTTTCTCTTCTTTTTCCCCCTTTTTTAGAGTTTTAAAATATGGAAGCACCCCCTTCTCTTTAATCTCCCGAGAGAGAGCACAAGGCTATAGCTCACAAGGTTGACAAACTGACAACTGTACTGTACTCCCCCTTTCCTGAGGTTCCTTCCACCCGCCCTAAAAAAAACTTGTCTTATTCGGGGGTGGGTGGGGAGGGGGTTTCGAGTTAATTTGAAATCAGGACTCAAGTATTGTCCAAATCATGTCTGGATCTTCTTTGGAAATCTATAAATGGCTTATCGCTGCATGATTTTTTCCGGGGGAGGGCGACATTTTTCCAGAGGTACTGTTAGAGGCCGGGAGTACTCAGGGTTGCCAGATGAAAAATATGTTCACCAATAAAATTTTTCTTTCACAGCAAAAGACAAAAATGCAAAGTTTTTTGAGACGATTTTTTGCATGGAAATATTCCTACTCCTGAACGATCACAAGAGTCAGTGTCACGTTACTGTACAAAGAACATTTAGAAATGTTTAATGACTTTTTTGTTTTCGTAAAATGTAGCCTTGTTTCATTTTGATTGCGTGATTATAAATATCCTTTTTTGGTTAGCCACACAAAGGGTTGTTTCAGTTTAGTTTCCTTTTCGTCAGCAAAGTATATTAAGTCTTTTTCCACGCAAACATTTTAGTTTTAAGGAGTTGTCCCTGGAGCAAATTGGAGTTTTAAGAGCGACTTTCTGTAAATACCACGGATAGGTGTGCAAGACGGAAAAATCGAAATCCCCCAAACTTTGTCACAACAAAGCCCTTTGGAAACTATTTTAGAAAATACAAGACTCAGTTCGTTTGACTTAATATTTTCCAAAATAATAATTTTTTTTAATTTTCACCTTCGAGAGGCCTTCAAACCACCGAAAAATGTGCTTGATACCCTCGCTTCGTGAATGGAAACGGAAACTAATACCATAACTTTTCTTACATAAAACAATTTTATGATCCTTCCTTTCTACCTAAACGTTGTTACAATTTCAAAAGATTTCAATCTGATTTTTTAATATTTTTTCAAAATTACCCTCTAAATCAGCATTATCGCAACCATCAATTTTGCCATTTTTCAACGGCAAAAATCCCTTCCTGGTACATGGCTTTCATTAGAAAAATGGTATTCCAGAGAAAGAGCAATGTTTCCCCTATCAATCTGTGAAATAAAATTCTGGGGCAATTGAAACTGCGAGTTTTTACAACGGAAAACATTTACGGTACTCGCGTGATTTACGACCACTGAACTTGCAGTTGTCGTGATGAATACAAGCGAGAACCTAGACAGCACTTGAAACTCTGACGCAAATTCGCCCCTTTTCCGCCAGTTTAAACACCAAAAACGATTTTAGATTTCACAGTGGTAAATTTTCAAAAGGAAAAGCAATTTTATTGTACGAAAGTGTACTATGAACTTCTTGACTACAGACACTTCCCTTACGGGCGTATTTGTTTACTTTTGCCGTACACATATGTACAAAACGGCTAATAGTGTCAGTAGCTATTCTTTCAAATGCTCTCATTTCTCATGAACCAAATCGTTATAGCTATAAAAAAAGGAAAACATTTTGACCTACCTCACGTTATTTGAGAACAGACCCGAATCCTTTACTGCCTTTAGCGAAACGAGATTGCGTGACAAAGAACTTTGAGACCCAGGTTATACCGCGCAGACAGATACCATTCCGAAAAAGAAACTCACGCGGCACCTTCTGTAGCTATAAAAGCGAAAAATGTAAAAAATCAAAATCCTTGGTTTCGTTGACTTATCTGCCAGAGCGACCCTGCAAGCGTAACACTAAAAAAATATTTTTTCGTCAAAAGACTATATAGGGGTAGGCCCTTATACAGTGGAACCGTGATATAAAGAACCTACGAATGATTTTCTTTACCTCGATAATAGTAAAATATGCCGTAAAACCTATATTAAAGCCCCCTGTCAAATAACCCCCCCTCCCTCTGATAAGCCCCCCCCCCCCCCCCCCTCTATCAAGCACCCGCTTCCCACCCGTAATTATTCTTCACTAATAAATGAAAGACTGTATTAATCAATCACGACCCTAAAGGCTTCGTGTAGACTAATCCGGAATGGTTTATTTACCAACTGGAAGTTCGGATTTGATTATGATTTTCGACTGCATGACCTAAAACTTCCTGTACTTGAGCTTTTCCACTTTATATTATAGTTCTTTATGGAGAAGCGATACCATCGTAGTTTCTAAATTAAACATATTAAGCCCCCCGTCTCTATTAAGCCCCTCCCCCTCGAATGAGCTTGAAATAATAAGCCCCCCCGGGGAGCTTAATAGAGGATTTACGGTATGAAAAAAAAACCTCGATATAACGAAACCCCGTTATAGCGAGCAAATTTCAGGGGCACTCAACGACTGTGTTCTGTAAAATATATCTTCGGAGAAGTAGATATTGCCTAGAATTTTGTATAGTTTGAGGACGCCTAAAAATTTCTAGATGACCGTTCCGTTCCTGTTCAATTTTCGAAGGTTATCTTATAAATTCCCTACGATTTTCTGAAGTTTAATTTTTCACATTTTACATCCCAGGTTAGGCTAATTTTTCATAGAAAAGAGGAAACCTAAAGTGTTCGGATTCAAACATGTGATTGAGAGAGGAATCAGAAAAATTCTCACTTTCGTGATACGTTAAATTGCATCTAAAATTTTTGGGAAAATAATACTGAAGCCTTTGTAATTTCGAAAATGCTCAATGCAAGTTCCCCTAGGATGACCGAACAGGAACAAATTTTACAAGCCGCTTAGAATGCATTTCTAGAGATCTAAAAGTACTCTGGGTACACCATTGAAAAATGCTTTCAATGAATTTAGAAGGAAACCGTCGTTGGGTGGCTCAGAAATTTTTTTAGTCCCTTGGCCCTTCGTTAAATCGAGGTTCCACTGTAGTCTCTTGCTTTCATCACGCTCGTTTTAAAATACGATTAAGAATTCCTTACTTGAATTCTTAGGAAAAAGCGCTAATTCGTAGTCTAAAATGTCATCCGTCCCTTCCCTCCACCCCCTAAGGGGCCACAGCAGGTTTCGGGGTGGGGCGAAGACACTAAGACACGCATAACATTTCAGACTAGACATGGCGGGGCTAAAAAACCTGCATAACTTTAGAGCACCTCTTGTGTTTAAATTTTCTTTAGTTCTGGCAGACTCGAACAAGTTTTGCATTTCTGAGGAACGTTTTGCCTAAATATAGGTTATGGCACATGTCAAGCCAGAAAAAGTGCGCAGTTTGATAGAAAATGTCAAGTACGACTGAACAACGCCCGTAAAAGCGCCCCTAATGACTCGGGCGGGAGGGGGAGGCTGGGTGGGGAGGGGAAACTCTGAAATTGAGCAAAGAGGACCTAGCTCTAAGCATACCGCCTGCTTTTTAGTTGTCCGTATCCCTGGGCAATAAATTTTACCCACAGTTTCGAGCAACTCTTTAAAGGAGATTGCAAGCCCGTATATTTGGGGCCGTCAGGAACGCTCAGCGGTGAAACCAAAGATCGCGCCCTCGAAAAACTTATTTTAACTTACTGAAAGCTGTTTTTTCTTGACCTATTTAACTTATCGTTAGGAAAGAAGAAAAGGAATCTCATAATTAGCGTATGTATAAAACCATCAAGAAAACTCGAAATTCTGGGTTTTCTAAGACAACAAATACAGAAAGTCCGTGGACTGGAAATAACTCGCTATCAATTATCCGAAGATATCCGAATATCTCACTTTTCAAGCCCACGTTAATTCGCTTCATTTTTGAGGGGAGCCAACATTAGCCGCGCGACTGTTATTTTTTTGCGCCTGGGTATCTCACGTTATGCTTACGCGTATCCGTAAGTGTGTCTTACATCCTACGCTTACGTAAAGGTTATATACCTGGAAAGATGGGGTATGTGATATATTCACCTGGTACCGCCCCAAGGGCTACGTGTGTAAGACTGTTCCTTTTCAGATTTTCAATAGCAATGCAAAAAACAATAGCTTTCAGTTAGTGCGAACAGCCTTTCCTTCTCTTTTATTTTCTTTTCCTTTTTTCTAAAAAAAACGCAGTTTTTTTTTCAAGGTGCGAGGGGCGCGATCATTGGTTTCACCGCTCGAGTGTTCCAGACGGACGCAACTATACGGCTTGCAATCTTCTTTAAAGAGTTGCTCAAAAATATGAGCGAAATTTTTCTTCAAGGCAGACTCAAAGGTAAAGCGTAGACGGTTTGGTTAGAGCTAGGTCCCCTTCGCTCCATTTCAAAATCCCCCCCCCCCCTCCCCCTGCCAGAATTATTAGGGGCGCTAATACGGGCGCGGTTCAGTCGTACTTGACATTTTCTATCAAACTGCTCACTTTTTTCTGGCTTGAGATAAGCCTATATTTTTCCCAAACGTTGCTCAGAAATGCAAAACTTGCTCGAGGTTGCCAGAACTACTGAAAGCTTTGCTTTTAACACCAGAGGTGCTCTAAAATTATGCAGGTTTTCTAGCCCCGCTATGTCCAGTCTGAAATGTTCTGCGTTTCTTCGCCCCACCCCGAAACGGGCTGCCTTCCGTTAGGGGGTGGAGGGAAGGGACGGATGACATTTAAGACTAGGAATTAGCACTTTTTCCCCCTAAATGTCATTTTTCTAAGGATACAAGTAAGGAATTCATAATCGTATTTCAAAATGTGCAAGCAGGCGTTTATGGAAAGTAAGAGAATATAAGGGCCAACCACTTCAAAGTCTGTTGTGGAAAATATGTTTTTTTAGTCTTACGTTTTCATAATCGCTCTAGCGGATAAGTCAGTGAAACTAAGGATTTTGATTATTTACATGTTTTGCTTTTATAGTTACAGAAGGCACCGCGTGAGTGTCTTTTTCGGAATGGTATCTGTCTTTCTTCGCGGTATAGGTCTTTGTCACGCAATCTCATTTCGTTAAAGGCAGTAAAGGATTCGGTTCTGTTGTCAAATAATGTGAGGTAGGTCAAAACGTTTTCCTTTTTTCATAGCTATAACGATTTGGTTCATGAGAAATGAGAGCATTTTAAAGAATAGCTACCGACACTAAAGCAGTTTTGTAGATATATGACAACTGTTACAAATACGGCAAAAGTAAACAAATACGCACGTAAGGGATGTGTTGTAGTCAAGAAGTTCATAGCACACTTTCGTACAATAAAATTGCTTTTCCTTTTGAAAATTTACCACTGTGAAATCTAAAATCGTTTTTGGTGTTTAAACTGGCGGAAAAGGGGCGAATTTGCGCCAGAGTTTCAAGTGCTGTCTAAGTTCTCCCTCGTATTGACCGTATTCATCAATACAACTGCAAGTTCAGAGGTCGTAAATCACGCGAGTACCGTAAATGTTTTCCGTTGTAAAAACTCGCAGTTTCAATTGCCCCAGAATTTTATTTCACAGATTGATAGGGGAAACATTGCTCTTTCTCTGGAATACCATTTTTCTAATGAAAGCCATGTACCAGGAAGGGATTTTCGCCGTTGAAAAATGGCAAAATTGATGGTCGCGATAATGCTGATTTAGAGGGTAATTTTGAAAAAATATTAAAAAATCAGATTGAAATCTTTTGAAATTGTAACAACGTTTAGGTAGAAAGGAAGGATCATAAAATTGTTTAATGTAAGAAAAGTTATGGTATTAGTTTCCGTTTCCATTCACGAAGCGAGGTTATCAAGCACATTTTTCGGTGGTTTGAAGGCCTCTCGAAGGTGAAAATTAAAAAATATATATTATTTTGGAAAATATTGAGTCAAACGAACTGAGTCTTGTATTTTCTAAAATAGTTTCCAAAGGGCTTTGTTGTGACAAAGTTTGGGGGATTTCGATTTTTCCATCTTGCACACCTATCCGTGGTATTTACAGAAAGTCGCTCTTAAAGGACTCCTTTGGAGTTTTTCACAACTTGGCGTTTTCTCACCCCAGGAGTCAAGATCAGACGTAAGTCACGATCGTTACATTTCTATCAGTTTTTTGTTGTGCTTTCTGTTGTCAGATTTATAATTTAGTACGTTTCTTTAGCTTAGACAATCATGCGTTTCTTTTTAGTTTTCACCGCAACTGTTGTAACAAGTCGGCTAGCCTGACTCCCAATTAAGTCCAATAAATTAACACACTTAAGAGTCTGCAGTCCGTCCTTAAGCTTTACTGCATTGTGGTTGACCTGGCGAACCCAACTACGCTGCACCCCGTGTCTGCCGTGCTGGGAATGTGACAGTCAGATTCCACGTGTAAAGGCATTAAAATATTGTGTAGCTGAAATGGAGTTTTCGTCAAATAGATAGCTCTCTTAGTTAATTGGAAACTTGACATAACATTTTGTCTCTTCCTACCAGTGGGCTTATGGCTATGGTGAAAAAGAGCTCTTTCTACTAACCATAAAAAACTTTTCTCCTAAAACAACAGTGAAAACACTCCATTTTGTTTTTCACAACAACTGTAGAAATTCTTGCTCGCTCGCTCATTGGCTAATTTTCATTGTCAAAAGCGGACGGACATATACGAATTTATAAGTTATGGGGCATGGGATGCGTCAATAAGCGAGAGTAGACAGTTTTTTATCGTAGAAAACAAATTGACGTCAGTTTTTAATGCGTAGATCTGTCCTGTCCTGTTGTCATACATGACAGGACAGTCCTGTAAGATTGTCAGAGTAGTGTGGGGATCCACTCGGCCAATCGCCTCTTGGATCCACAGCTACATGTACTTGAAATGACAATGTTATGATGAAATTCATGATCAATAACAGGACAGACGCATGAAAAACTGATGTCAATTTGTTAACGTGACAAAATTTTTCATCTCAAGGCGTTCCAACCCAGCGGTACTTCAGGCAAAGAGCCTGGAAACTGGTCCATGAATAATGCCTGGTTACTAAGCTACAGATGTCAGTTCTTAGAAATAAAGAAATACCTGTCAACAAATACCATAAAAAGATGAAGCATACATGTATATCAAAGTTAGCGAAAATGATTTTTCTAATTAAGTTGAGAGGCATTACTATTGTAAGTTTAGTTCAAGTCCACAGCTTTCTAGACAAGAGTCAGTCATAAATAAAAATAACCAACTAAGGCTATTAGCAATGTCTTATGAGCAGGTAATTCAGACTTTGGGTTTGAAGTTGATGGCATAAAAATATTCACCAATGTAATGATTGACATTATCATATCTTGTTACTCATTACATTTGGTGTTCAGTCAAGAACTGTAGCTTTAATTTTCAGCTTTAATTTTTTTTTCTACTAGTCTGGCGTACATGAGAACTAACAGAGTCTTGAAATTGCACATGTTTACAATGGGGGTGTTCGGATTGTCCCTTTTGTGGCCAGGGTTAGATTTGGCGGTGGTCAGCTAGCCAAGTACCACTGGATTTTCAGGTGTGCAGGACTGTCATTAGTTGCCGGCAACCGGCTTTTATAGCCGGCTACTACAGTAAAATCAACCGGCTACTCTCAGTCTGAAAATTAGTGAAACACATCTGTTATGAGAAGATTTGTTTGATTTGTGACTGGCTACTTTCCCTAAGAGACCTGACTTTCTAAAAACCTTAATGACAGCCCTGGTTGTGGCGAGTGAAATTCCTTAATTAATTTAGTTACTAGCCATGTTGACTACCAAAATTATGGAGGGAAATTTCTTTGTCAGCTACAAAAGATACACTCATATGCCATCTGACTGGTGCAGATAAAACTAACAAATTACATGCAGAAATTTTCAGAGGTAAAATGTGGGAAGATGTGTCGATTATGTGGAAAACACACTTGATTATGCAGAAATTTCAACAGTTAACAAAATTATTATTGATATAGTAAAACCTTTTGAATGCACCGAACAACTGTGAAATGAAAAGCACTTCAAAGTCTTACCCACATTGTAAGCTCTTCAATAATGCACAATACTTTCACCAACTTTGGCATTTGTTTGTCGGATCTTTTTATGGTATAAATTGTTGACAGGTATTTCTGCATTTGCACAGTTTTTCTATAGCACTTTAGCTCATTTTGGAGCAGGTATATTCTGTAGGTTGCAGGTTGTACATGTAGGTTGAAACGATCGACTTGTTTATTTGAGGGGGCAGTGTAAAATGCAGACTGCGGATTGACTGCGGACTATTGTTTTTAGAAAACAATGGGATTTTTGTTGTCACGTTCTCATTTGCATGGTGAAAACAATAGTCTGCAGTCTGCGTTTTACACTGACCATTATTTGAGTTGAAGTCGAATAAACCCCAGTATAAAGGCTACCGGTAACCCCAAGCAACCTAAGCTAATTTAGGCTAACCGAAGTGCTAAGTAGTTTTTCAACCTGCAACCAGCAACAGATACCTGTCTCCCATTTTGCGTGGAATGTGCTTAGCTTAGTAACCAGGCATTTTCCACAGAACTAGTTTCCAGGCTCTTCGCTTAAAATAAGTTGGAATGCCTGGTCTTCAAGAATTCTTTGCAAGTCTTTGGAATTTTTGCTTGTGGGGCTGTAAGCTAAGGCAGCTGCTTTATCACTAATGTAATAGGGAACAATTTTTCTGCAGAAAAAGCTCTGATTATGCAGAGGATGCGTGTGTTAGCAACTTATGTGGATCCCTACTGCAGCATCCTGTCAGATGATCTGTTTTCAATGGGCTTATAAGGCCCTCTTTATATGTCGCATTAGAGACGAATTTAATTCACATAAATTTGCTAGCAATTTTCTTCAACGCTAAAGCAATGTATAAAACGAACTGAATTGCTCCTGTTAAATTATATTTGTCCAGACGTTTTATCTGTTTGCCCCAGACAGATAAAATGTCTGAAATGTGTGTCACTTTTATATGTCGCTTTTAATTCGCATCAAAGTAAATGCATAAATTATTTTTCGTGACATAAAGTATTCCAATGGCTAATTTTGAGCACACGCTCACAGTTTTCCCGTACATAGCATGCATATGCGTACGGGGAGAAGAGTTCCCGCGAAAATAAAAAAACATGGCGACTGCTGGAGCCCTTTTCCGAAAAACGTTGAGTCAGACTTGTTGGTCGTGCAAGGCTTAAACGAAATACAGTTGTATTTCATGTGACAGACCTGTATTCATTCAGGATCCTGGGTAGGTCTGCTCCACAGTTGAAGAGGACTAGTCAGTGCTCCAAGTTTAAGTTTTTCAGAAGTCACCTTTTAGTGACTTCCATTAGCATTAATTGGTTGGCTCTTCAAAAATTAATTTTGGTTTGCAAAACCAAAATGTATTACACACTTACCTAATTACATGGAGAATTTATTTAGTAAAACTGTGAAAGGTTTGAACCCAGGAGTCATTTCAAAAGTAGGTTGAGATTGATCGTCCTGGTGAACGTAGTCCTGAATAGGACTGTTGTTGTTGACAGTGACTGACGTTTCGACAACCTGTGCGGTAGTCATCTTCAGAGTCAAAGTGAGTTGTATCACGTCAGTTGATGGTAATAGGTTTCTTAGGACAATTCACGAGTTTACAGAATATATACTGCTGTAAAACAATAAACGGAAATTACCTATGATATGACGTGACACGGTGTAGTTACTAGAAAAAAAGAACTGAAATTGAAAACTGATACAAGTTGCGTAATATATGGTGATAGATTATTGTTCTTCACGTTTGTTAATTCCTAGAGGCTCAATTGTTTTATCTTTTTGGATGAGATGCGCTTTGCGCGCTTTGCTAAAAGAATCGCGTTCATTATTAAGTTTTTCAATAGGTATAAGTAACATATGGGAAACAGAATGATTGTTGCTAAGAAAGTGTTCTGAAACGGCAGTTTGGATATAACTTACTACAGGTTCAATTTCAGTTCTTTTTTTCTAGTAACTACACCGTATCACGTCATATCATAGGTAATTTCCGTTTATTGTTTTACAGCAGTATATATTCTGTAAACTCGTGATTTGTCCTAATAAACCTGATGAAGACTGGTATTGGCCAGTCGAAATATTGTACATCTCAGCGTCTTTCACGTTGTTTGATCAGTCTTTGCAGTAATCTTTTTGACTTTCAATTCTCTATATTTTTTTTTTTGACTGATCTCGATCTTGTTTGATCCAACGTTGGGCAAGTTTGATCGTTCACGGTTTTTGCAGTGGTTTCAAGCCTTAATTTACAACTACCTTAAAACATTAAAATCAATTCTTTGATCTTTTGTTGAGGTATCAATAGAATAAGTTTTCTTTTTTAAACTTCTGTTTTTGCTAAAAACAAGTGCATCTCCCTTTCAAACTGGTTATTAACTGCGATTTTCATACTATTTCCAGCCAGAAATATGTTGGTTGCCCAAAAGCGTAGTATTATTTGTGTTCGATTTCCCACCCAGAAAAAATGGCATTCTTTAGCTCCCCTGTTTGGGTTACCTCAAGACTCCCCACCTCCTTTCTGAGGATCTGTAGAGACAGATGCTTGTGCACTTACGCTTATGATGATGTCAAAACATAATTTTCTTGGCTTAATGGTTTTAAAAACAAAACTATTTACACATGGTGCTCTGCTGAGCACGTAGAGCTGAACTAAAACATCATTTGTTACAAAACTGGTGCAGGCTTGTTCTTTGTTGGAATGTACATTTATGTAAACGAAGATTTTCTAATTGTTTTTGCAGCTTACCTAAGTCAAAGTCCTATGTCCTGTGATGGAGAAGTTAGAAGCAATCTACCAGCAGGTACACTGTACTTGAAAAAAACTTGTGAGAAAGTAGATGCGGGAGGGTCATATCTTTTTTTGGCCCCTGAAAAAGTTGGGTCATGAAAAACTAGGCAGTGAAGAAGAGGGAGGCTGACAAGTTTATGCACACATAATCATAACAGGCATTTTTTTTAATGTTACAATGTGGCACAAATGGCGAAACAATATAGAAAAGACACTATAAATTCATCATGCTGCACTTGTAAAATGGTTACATTTCTTGTTCTTTTTACAGGTTGCACATGCGTTAATTTGCTTGTAAATAACTTGCTTCAGTATCTAGCCCTTGATATCTTGTATTGCTTGTAGGCTTGCTGCTGTTTGCATAATTATTCAGTTTCACTAAAATTATAATAGCAATGAGCATTCATGGGCCTGATAAAATTTCCATTTGATAGATCACCATAGGAGAACTCCAGAAACAAAAAGTCAAAATAAAAATAGTAGTAATTTAAATAGTTGAAGAGTAAATGTATACACTGGATAGTCTGTTTTTTTTTTTTGTAGACTTGAGCACTTGAGCAATCAGAAGTATGACAGTGATGAGGTAAATATTATGAAGGCATTTTATTGTAATCAAAGAAAATGCCTTACATATGTTACTGTGGGAGTTTTTACCCTTTTTTCTAAGGAATTTTATTCTATTATTTATATACCATGGAAGTAAAAGAAGAAGGACAAATGAAGTGTACATATAGTCTCTAATACTCTCACGAATCTTGTGGCTATGTTTCTCTCTTGGTAATTCCTAGTCATAGGAGTTTTCACATATCTAAAAGAAATAGGGAAAGGGGAAAAAAGTCAGATGTTATTGTTGCCTGAGCCCAACTCTTAAGAAAATGCTGACTGAAGCAAAGAGTATCCATTGTCTTTTTCGGAATATCAGTGGTAGTCCACACTGTTCCCTTCAGTAATTTGCTTATTTGCTTGTTCTTGTGATTTTTACTTTGGCGTAAGATAATACGATAACTCGACAGCAGGATTGGAAAATTGTGCATTTCTTTAGCTTTGGCCTGCCAAAAGGGGGCTCTTGTATAAATCGGGTGGTCCTTTCCTGGGATATTTTCTCTTTTCCAAATGATAACTGTCTGAGGATATGACGTCTTGACACGTTGTCAGAAGTGTCGAAGTTCAGTTTATAATGGTATCCATAATGTAATTAACCTGATTTAGTGCTGTAGAATTTAGGGATTGAATAAACCTTGTATGGTTACTGGTAAATATTTTACTAGGAAGTTATTTAATGAATAATTAATATAAACAATGAAGTTGAAACGATAAACAAATCGAACTAATGTCAAAGGTTTGCACACTGTTCTTAATCAAAAAGCAAAAAGTATGGGAAATGTCCCCACAATCGAAACAGTCCCCACAGTGCTTGTGTGTGTTCATATTCTTGTCCCTGTAAGTATTCAATCACAATAGATGTTTAATTTACTATCTTTTTTTAACGTGTCATTGTTGAATTTAGTTGGTATTCGAACTACAGTATTTAAAAATCAAATTTTAGGGTGCGTTTCTTTAAGAAAATCCAAGATTGGGTTCTTAAATCTGAAAGAATCCGAAAATGGATTTTGCGTTTCTTTACTAAACAGATCAATCCAAGATCTCTCGGATCCTGGTGCGTCAAAGAAACCGAATAATCCACTCTGGGCAAGGACTATTCCGTCCCTTTGATACACCATGATCCGAGAGATCTTGGATTGATCTGTTTAGGAAAGAAATGCAAAATCCGTTTTTGGTTTCTTTGGGATTCAAGAATCCAATCTTGGATTTTCTAAAAGAAACACACCCTTAGTTGCGTTAGTGTGATCATGTGAAAAACAACTCCTTGTATAGGCTACTATGCCTGGTTAAATGCTAATACAGTGACTCGTTTGTAGGAGGTTGCTGATAGTGCAGCTGAAACAGACAATGAAGAGTTCAGTTATCCTGCAAGACTAGACTTTATTCTGGATTGCTGAACAGGGTATCTCCCCAGGCTTCATTAGGTATGGACTAGAAAAATTTCACAAGTGATGAATTAAGTTTGCTGATTTAAACTTGTACTCATTACATTGTAATCAGTTCGGAGGACTGATTGATCAGGTAATACATATGAGAAAGTGAACGTAGGATTCGTTTGGTTTTGATTTAGGGCTACATTTGAAAGAGGACGAGGAAGGTGAAGATGAAGATGGTGGAATTCAGAAAACCTTTGGTAAGCTAATAATGACGTTTGTTGTTTTCAGTCGAGGTAGACTGTTCAAAGTCCTCTATTTCCTTACATGTCAATCAATCAGTCAACAACTTTATTAACATGTCTAAGGTAAAATAGGCGAGGGTGAATCCCTCAACTAATTGGGGACACCTAAAAGGTTAGATTAAGAAACTATTTACAGCATTAATTTTAAACTTTAAAATAAAATAAGTGGTCTAACTAACGTAATTATCACTAGCTATTCGTGGAAGTCTTAACATTCATAACACTTTCAAAATAATAGAATTCGGTTATTACATACGGAGCAACAGTTTGGCAGCCGTCAGCCAGTAGCGACTGTTAATGTTTATGGCTGCGCAAACTGGGTGCGTATGTCAATGCGAAGCGCAACTGGGGTAGGTGCGGGTAGATAACGCTTTGAGCTCGCACTTGTTTCGATCACTGTTTCTCGTGCTTCTTCCAGTTTGTGTTGAGAAAATAGAAAGGCTGTGAACAATCTATTTTTAAAGGTATAAAAGGTAGATGTGTAACTATATCATTTTAGCAAACGCATGTAGCACTCTACTCATTTGCATATCTGTTTTAACGTAGCGAAGATTCATTAAACATTTCTTCGTCTAGCAGTTATAACAAAAGATTCACACTTCTCCCGGCTTACAATTTTACCCATGCCAGAAGAATCGTAACTATTAGAAACTTACCATTTGACTTATAAAGAAACATCATTTTAATACATAGTACATTTTGTTGTGTGTATTCGCAGCTAAGAAGAGACAACGTGTCAAAGGAAAAAAGTTGTCTTCCAGTTCCTCTTCCTCTGACGAAGATAAAAGTACAACGAAACTATTAGTTACACTTAATAGTTTAAAAAAATCCGTTGTTAAGCAAAATGTTGAACATCTCAACTAACAGGTGTATTACGAGAAAGAATTAATGCAAGCTTATCCCTTTTGGTCAGGTCTATGAAAGTAATGCTGTATTAAAAGTCTATTTGTAAGTATCAGTCACGACTGTTTATAATTTCAACAGTAACAAACATCAGTTTTTATGGGCTTACCTTTATGTAGAGAACCAGAGTAGAAGTTCCTCTTCCCCTGATGAAGATGACAGTACAGTCAAGCAACCAGGTACGTGCAAGTTCAATAGACTTGTGATATGAGTTGAAACACTCACCTTCACGTTGTTAAAATTTTCCAGGCAGTATTTCTACCGCTTCCTCTAAAAAAAGACACATTACTATTTTCATTGTCGTTATCGTTATCGTTATCCTTGTCGTTATTGTTGTCGTTATCATTATCATTATCATTATTAATGCGCACTTAACGCGTAAGGTGATGTCATAACAAAATTTTCTCGGCTTAATGGTCTTAAAACCAAAGCTATTTACACATGGTGCTCTGCTGATACACTTTACACGTAGAGCTGAACTATAACATCATTTGTTACAAAACTGGTGCAGGCTTGTTCTTTGTTGGAATGTACATTTATGTAAACGAAGATTTTCTAATTGTCTTTGCAGCTTACCTAAGTCAAAGTCCTGTGTCCTGTGATGGAGAAGTTAGAAGCAATCTACCAGCAGGTACACTGTACTTCAAAAAAACTTGTGAGAAAGTAGATGCGGGAGGGTCATATCTTTTTTTGGCCCCTGAAAAAGTTGGGTCATGAAAAACTAGGCAGTGAAGAAAAGGGAGGCTCACAAGTTTATGCTCACATAATCATAACAGGCATTTTTTTTTAATGTTACAATGTGGCACAAATGGCAAAACCATATAGAAAAGACATTATAAATTCATCATGCTGCACTTGCAAAATGGTTACGTTTCTTGTTCTTTTTACAGCTTGTACTTGTGTTAATTTGCTTGTAAATAACTTGCTTCAGTATCTAGTCCTTGATATCTTGTATTGCTTGTAGGCTTGCTGCTGTTTGCATAATTATTCAGTTTCACTAAAATTATAATAGCAATGAGCATTCATGGGCCTGATAAAATTTCCATTTGATAGATCACCATAGGAGAACTCCAGAAACAAAAAGTCAAAATAAAAATAGTAGTAATTTAAATAGTTGAAGAGTAAATGTATACACTGTTTTTGTAGACTTGAGCACTTGAGCAATCAGAAGTATGACAGTGATGAGGTAAATATTATGAAGGCATTTTATTGTAATCAAAGAAAATGCCTTACATATGTTACTGTGGGAGTTTTTACCCTTTTTTCTAAGGAATATTATTCTATTATTTATATACCATGGAAGTAAAAGAAGAAGGACAAATGAAGTGTACATATACTCTCTAATACTCTCACGAATCTTGTGGCTTTGTTTCTCTCTTGGTAATTCCTAGTCACAGGAGTTTTCACATATCTAAAAGAAATAGGGAAAGGGGAAAAAAGTCAGATGTTATTGTTGCCTGAGCCCAACTCTTAAGAAAATGCTGACTGAAGCAAAGAGTATCCATTGTCTTTTTCAGAATCTCAGTGGTAGTCCACACTGTTCCCTTCAGTAATTTGCTTATTTGCTTGTTCTTGTGATTTTTACTTTGGCGTAAGATAATACGATAACTCGACAGCAGGATTGGAAAATTGTGCATTTCTTTTGTTTTGGCCTGCCAAAAGGGGGCTCTTGTATAAATCGGGTGGTCCTTTCCTGGGATATTTTCTTTTTTCCAAATGACAACTGTCTGAGGATATGACATCTTGACACGTTGTCAGAAGTGTCGAAGTTCAGTTTATAATGGTATCCATAATGTAATTGACCTGATTTAGTGCTGTAGAAGTTAGGGATTGAGTAAACCTTGTGTGGTTACTGGTAAATATTTTACTAGGAAGTTATTTAATGAATAATTGATATAAACAATGAAGTTGAAACGATAAACAAATCGAACTAATGTCAAAGGTTTGCACACTGTTCTTAATCAAAAAGCAAAAAGTATGGGAAATGTCCCCACAATCTAAACAGTCCCCACAGTGCTTGTGTGTGTTCATATTCTTGTCCCTGTAAGTATTCAATCACAATAGATGTTTAATTTACTATCTTTTTTTACCGTGTCATTGTTGAATTTAGTTGGTATTCGAACTACAGTATATAAAAATCAAATTTGGGGGTGCGTTTCTTTAAGAAAATCCAAGATTGGGTTCTTAAATCCGAAAGAATCCGGAAACGGATTTTGCGTTTCTTTACTAAACAGATCAATCCAAGATCTCTCGGATCCTGGTGCGTCAAAGACACCGAATAATCCACTCTGGGCAAGGATTATTCCGTCCCTTTGATACACCATGATCCGAGAGATCTTGGATTGATCTGTTTAGGAAAGAAATGCAAAATCCGTTTTTGGTTTCTTTGGGATTCAAGAATCCAATCTTGGATTTCCTGAAAGAAACACACCCTTAGTGGCGTTAGTGTGATCATGTCAAAAACAACTCCTCCTTTTCGAAATGGTAGACTTTCCACAGATAAAGAGAGTTATTTTTGTTGTTGTATTTAGACTAGACATGGTGGAGATTCGTGGGAAGCGGGGAAGAAAGGTTCCAGTCATCTTGACCCCCGAGATGATCAACGCTATTGATGTTCTAATCAAGACGAGGAAAGCAGTAGGCATCGCAGATGAGAATCCGTACGTGTTTGCAAGACCAAATAGACAGTCTTTGGAGCCTATGCGTGCCTGGGATTGTCTCAAGAAATTAAGCACACAGTGTGAACCACCTTTGTCAAACCCTACAAATATCACCAGTACAAGGATGAGGAAGAACATAGGAACTATTTCGCAAGTACTGTCTCTGAAAGAAACAGAAGTGGATTGGCTCGCGAGACACCTTGGCCATGACATTCCAGTGCATAGGGACTTTTACAGACTCCATGAGTCTACAATTGAAATCGCTAAAGTTAGCAAACTGCTTCTAACGGTAGATCAAGGGAAAACAGGCAAATTTGCCGGAAAAACCTTGACAGAAATCGATCTGAATGGTAAGTACAAGTGATCTTTTCATGCTAATTTAAGGCAACTCAAAACAGTAATATACCGGAAGACGCCTGGGCTCTAACGTGCATTTCAGCGCGAGGCATCACGCGATCACCCGAGAGGTGTCCTTCATTCATTCAGGTCGCGAGATAGCGCGCGAGATTTAAAGTTACAAACATGGCGGCGCGAGGCCTACTTTGTAAAAATTTGTTTCCGCCAGGTTTGGTAAGCTGTTTACGATATCAGTTATTTTTGCCTTAAAAGGCAATTTCCAAGGAAAAACATTCTTTTAAACCACTGTGCTGGAACGTAAACGAAAATTGTGATGTTGATGTTGCGATCAATCACGCCGGGTATCAGTCTAAAAAACTGCAAGGAAAAACTACTCTTCAAGTTGTCTTCGTTCTTTTACTTTGCGAGTCTCACCTTCAGGTATTTATGGTGCTCGTCTTCTACCACTTTAGTTATGCTGCTAATGACAACAGCGAAAAAAAAAAGAAAGAAACAGTATTCGTGTGGAATTGCGAGCTTTACTGATCAGCAGACCACCTTCACGCATGCGCAAGGGGCGATCTTTCGAAGTCGAGATTTTAATTTGTACGTAGAGTATCTCAAAAACTGATCCCGTGACCCTACTTTTTTAGCGGAAAAATATTCAACAGCAAAAGCGGAATGCATGAGCGAAATTTCTGACTCGGAAAGGTTTTGTTAGAAATCGCAGAACCAAGACTTTCTGACACTGATGATGAACTTAATGATACTGATGGTGAGGAAGATGACAAGACTGACGTTTTCGATGAAGGAACGTCTTCAGGTGCGTAAATTGTTTCCTGAATTCACAGAATATTGGCAGTGCCGACTTAATTAAGTTGGCTGACAATAGTTTCCAGCTCTTTCTATCACTTATACTTTGATGGATCAATACAACCACTCTTAGTCATATCATCCTCCAATAATGGTATCACACAAATACCCAGCCATTGGTTAACAAGTTGTGATCATCCTTTTTATATAACAGGCTACCATAGAAACAATAAAACCCGTTAGAAACGCGGTAAATGTTACCATTAGAGGAAACCTCCATTTTTATTATCGAATATTTATAAGTAAGATAAGAGGAAACATTATTGTAAACTTAAAATTCTGCGAGGGAGTGTCAAGGCCACCTTAAATCAAGGTGTCTCTGTTAATTGATTGGTTTATTAACATTATAACAGGACGCTCTACCAAGAAGCAAGTAGCGAAAAGTATGTCCCAGAAAGATTTTACTAAAGAAGTGGCTAGCAAATCATCACGAAAGTCAAACAGTAAGATACGAAATCATTTGTTGATATTCTTAAAAACTGGAAAGCATTTGAGACGTTCTCTTTCATGGGATCATTGTTGCCAGCAGTGGCAACCAATTTCTTTAGTACGTATTTTGTTTGAGGTAAATGCAAGTCCTAGTAAATCATAGATTTTGTGAAGGCAAATGAGGAAATTGACTTTCTGATCATGTTTTAAAACAAGTTGAAGTGTGCTATCAGTTTTCATGTATTGCTGAGTTCAAACACGGAGCACAGCGTCAAACGGACTACCTTGTAGTACAGAGATTTAATCGGGTAATAAGAATCAGTCTTGTAGTCTTGGATTTTGGTCAATAAAACGTTTTTTGGCACTTCTTGTTATAGCTGTATGGATGTCTATATTCTTCGACATTAATTTTGACTCTTTTTGTAATAGAGGCCAAAGGAAGAAGAGCGAAGAAGATTGTAACTTCAGGTAAAGAGGATGGGAATTATTTTATTTATACTATTGAGCTGAGGTTTGCGAAAGACCAGATCAAAGGTTACATTTTAGTTGCCCGTAATAAAAGATGTCGATAAGAAAAAAGTTAGCCTGAGATAAACAAATCGACCACTACTCTCGTAGCCTTCCTCTATTCCTACTGACGAGTTCATTTGAAAAAGACGAAAACTTCTTATGTTTTGCTTTTTGACGATTACGTATTTTAATTGCATCTTTATTGTCAGATAATTAGAATAAGTTATCGTCAGAAAAGCAAAACATAAGAAGTTTTTGTTTTTGACAAAATGAACTCGTCAGTAGAAAAAGAAAAAAAGGTACGAGGGTAGTGGTTCTCAAACTTAATTAATATTTTCTCAAAGCAAACTTGAAATAGCCGATACGCAGGTGAACTCGATGGGCTATTTTTCTATCCGCCCCAACCCGCTCACGCTTTGCATTGACAACCGTCCAGTTTGCGCGGTCATTGAATAAAAATATGGGAATACAGAGATTGGTGAATTGTCTTATTTTCCTAGTTCTTGACAAAGTTTCGGCAACGAAGCTCATGTTAAGCAGTGCGACTAAAGGTTGTCACTTAGCTGGCGAGTAGAGGAACGATAGTCAGCTTTAGTTCTCCCATAAAATTAAAATGTGTTCGATATATTCAGCCTCTGGTGCGCAAAAAAAAAAATTTCTCCATAGACTCCGATCCTTATTCCTTTTATTGTCTTGTTTTAGGTGTCAAAATACGACATTCTTTGCAATCTGTCGAGACAAGGGGCAAGTTTCCAAGCTGCTGGTGGTTAGCGACTCTAGTGTTCGATGCGTAGTCATATTGTTTCTTATTGCTTTCTTTTAGATATTGCGTATCTGGAATTTTCAGACACGGATGGGGAGCTTGATGATTGTGATGAGGACAACCGTGTTGTCGAAGGTGATGAGAAAAATATCCTCGTGATAGAACAAAACTATGTAAAATTTAACTACATGGTGTCGCAATTCCTTTTCTTGCCCCTTTTCTCGAAAGAAAATCCGTTTTTTTTTATGGGTTTCAGAATCCCAGTGAATATGAGATAATAAGAGAGGATTTCCTTCCGTCAACTCTGCAAGAGAAAATGCTTCCCTAGAAAATCAGGTGTATAAATTCAACTCTGTGTATACTTCATGGATTGAAAACTTAATGCACTATCACTCTTGAGTATGCATTAAAGATTGGGAGGTTGTAGAAGTCTCCCTTCCCCCACCTCTGTGTATGTGTTTGGGAAGGCCCCGCCCGAAGTTGGTCTGAGCGACACACATTGTAGGTTAAGCAGGGACGGACGTTCGTAATCATAAAGTGGGGATAAGAGTGAGTTGGTTCACTATTCCCCCCGGAGTACACTTCTATCTTTGTGAAGTGCTTTTCAAAATCTCGATTTTTTTAATTTTTATATTTCCTATCAACATAGAACACAAGACGATAAGGGGTGATCGCTCTCAGAAACATAAAGATCAAGATAAGGAGAATTCAAACTGTGCTATTTCAAAGACAAAGAGTAAGTTGGTCAAATTTCCTTTCGTTATAAAAACGGCACATAGGATATTTTGTCATGTGGAAATGAGTCGATTTTAGTAAAAAAAATGTAGTCGCCTGTTGTAAAGTAAGTCAAAAGCGCTGTGAATATCTACCTCTGTATTGTATTTGTCCCCCTTCCCTGTGTCTAGATTCTCTGACTTATTGTATATTTACTTATAGTTGTCAAAGAACCTACAAAGACGGCAAAAATTGGTGGGAAAGATCCAGCTAAGAAGAATGCCAAAAAAGCTGTGCTCAAGTCAGGGAGTAAGTTTGGAATATTTTTTCACTGTCTATATCTCAAATATATGCAGAAGTCTGACCAAACAAGGTAGCATTTTTCTCTGATCTGACAAGCTAAAGCAGTTTTTAACCTATCACGCCAGAGACTCTGGCGTTCACAGTATTGTCAATACATCAAAAGTGATGCGTGTGTGTTACCTTTGTTGATTCGACTTTCGCGTTGATTTATAATTTGCGAGCTGTAAATCTATTACACTCTCAATAAATCCGGTTGCGAACTTTTTCGGAAGGAGTTTTTCATGTGGCGTTGTTTTAGTAACGGTTTTGAGAGGCGCTCTTCCCGTATACTGTAGGAATTTTAGGCATTACATATCCTTGGGAACCTTTATTGTCTTCCAGCAAAGAAACGGTGCTTTTATCACTAAGGTAAGCGTTTTCGATTTGCAGACACGAGGAGCCGCAAGAAGCAAAATTTCTGTCCCATAAGTTAATTGGATAAAGTAATCAAAGTTGACAGGTCGTTCCGATGATCAAAAAGACCGCTTGGTTAACCACCTACACCTTCAGTGCGAAGACTGTCACAAGAAAATTAACACCCAGCAGGATAATTGCTTAGCATAACAGTGGTATGTTGTGCGCGTCTGGTTTCAAACTACGTGATCGTGACATGTTGTTTTCATTCAGTGACAGTGCGCGTTAATATGCCAACCTTACACGTTTATACCAGACTCGAACATTTTAAATAAAAGCAAAGAGGCCGCTGACTAGAAACTAAACTGGTTACAAAAATCGTCCCCAGAGAATTCCGGTTCATTCGTGTTATTTTGAAATTCTCTGAAATTCTAGTCAAATGGATAGCGCCACTGATGAGGCCTGCATGAATTTACTCCACGGACGAATGAATAAAACAACATCGAGATAAAAACATTTCATTTTGCTTTTGTGGAGTACATTCATCTTAAAATCAAACTGGTAAATCGCTTTCTTCCCGGACTTGTAAAGATAAGCGTTTCTCGCGGAGTATGCGGTTCAGGAAGTCAGGACAAAGTCCACCAGGCACCAGTCAGTCCATCAGCAAAGAAAAATGACTCTCCCGTGGCTACTCGGGTAATAATTTTATTCTAGTAGTTAATAAATACGATATACTGGAACCTTTGAGAATCTCTTGGCCTGTGTTCACGTCCCCGGACCAAAAGTGTCGGAGGTAATTTCCTCCGACCAAAATTGGCTTTCCGCGATCACTCACAGTTTCCCACGGAGCATGAAGGTCCTTTTCCCTTCCTCCCTCATTGTCCTCGGCCCAACGTCGAAGGGGTACGGGTGCTGGGTCTCTGACGGAAACACTCTAACCACACAATGGTACACTAAGCGGAACTATTAAAGATCCTCAAATGTTGCACTGAATGTTTATTTTATTTTTTATATTTGTTTTTCTTTTTGTTTTTTTTTTGAAGCAGAAAGATATAAATAAAACAAGCATCGAATGAGTTTAGAAAAAAAATCTTTATATAATATTCCTATTAATAAAGAACTAAAAAACTCGACTGCAAGCAGTTAATATAGTTAATCTGTAGACCGATATTAACCAAAACTCAACTAAGCGCGCTAGTTTTAAAATTTACGCGGCATCAATGCAGTCGCGATCAAAATGCTTCTTCAAGTATACAGTACGTGTCTTGATCCTCAAAAGGGCTGGTACGTCCTGAATTCTGATATCTGCGGTTCAGAAGTTCGCAAATTCAGCACAATGTTTTCTTCCGACGATTTCCGGACGAAATACACAAAGTGCCATTCCGCGAACTCCGCGACGAGAGTGGAAATGCTCTTGACCCGAACTTGTTTGGAGTCAAGTATCAAAAATGTAGCGTTGTTGTGGCTTCCACTTTAGGCCTTTGCGGCGCACTTCTTCGCCAACGTGAGTTAAACGACCAGAGCTACTTATCAAGCGACTCGTTTAAAAGAATTGCTGCTACCATCAACAATCACTGTGCCATCACTGGCCTCCCAAGAAATGGCACGAGTTCCACTGTTACAGCCCTTCAAAAGGAACTTGAGGAAGCAAAGGGGAAGATCAGGGATCTCCAAAGTATTATTGCCGACAAGAGTCCTGCATTCAACCTTTCTACGGACGAAAAATCGGCTGCGCCACCAAAACAAAAGAAAACAAGGCTTAGCAAAAAAAGCGCGGGAAAAGTTCTTCGTTCGATGGAAGATGTCTGTAGTAGGCACAAAGCTTCCGTGGCATCCGTTCTTGGTCACCTGTGCACCCACGATCCCCAACAACAGCCAAGTGAAGCTCGTGACATAATTTCTGAGATTGTTACCTCTGTAACCGTGAAGAAAGGAGTGAAGAGAGGGCTCCAAACGCTTGTCCCTGATGTTTTGCAGCAATACATGCAACAATTCCGTGTCCCTGACTGGGTGCTTCTTTATTTCAAACTTGAAGCCAAAGTTCCGGATGAAGGATGGCAGACAATGATAAATCTGACGAAACTGGGAAGAACAGGGGTAAGCTAGAGTGAATTGATTATTTTGCTACCAAATCTATTCTTTGTAATTTATAAGGGGGATGGGGTGGGGGCTGGATCAGATATAAAATGTTTGGAATAGACTTAATGACTCTGTGTTATAACCATTCCCAAAGGATTCCAGTGATAAGGTATTATTACCGGCATTTTAATAAGGGTGGGATGGATTTCGCTGAATATACTGAAGATTAGTTATACCTTATTCTATTTTTAGTTATGAGGTAATTATAGTTACATGTATATCTGAGTAATTTTGCTAAAAGGTGGGCCCGCTTGGCTTTCCCTCAAGCCAGGGAGCATGGCACCTTTCTAGGCGTCAGCAGGGAGCCCAGGTCCAGACTGTGGCTGGGTGGCTTTCTTGTTTTGTGTCAAAACCAGGGGGGTAGGGAGGGGAGATTTTGTCACTTTGATTATAGTTTCAAGTCAGAAAGCAGTGCAGCCAAATTAATGCTGTGACTTATAATCATAACACTACTAACAGAGCTTGGGGGAAGTTATTGACTAGTCATAAGCTTCATGGGTGGGAAGGGTGATTAGTTGCTCCTTGGACTTGGCTGTCTAGGGACTCAGTACAGGCACCTTGTAAGAAATTCACACAGATATATATTTTTAGTTTAAGTTAATCATTATAATGATTATAATGTTATTGTTACTTCAAGTCTTTTCGCACATGTGTACATACTTACATCATTGATCATTGCATACATAAATATATGTACTTTATTGAATAAAGTGTTCCTCCCCCCCCCTCCCCCATCTAACTGCTCCCCAACAGCGTTTTTTAAAGGATGATTCTAAAACAACAAAAACTTCTTGGGTGAGACAATAAACAAATTGTATGTTTTATTGACAGAAAGGTAATGATGGTAACATTTTGCTCAACAAGAATCAAATCAAGGCAGTTCGCAGAATGATATTCACCATAGTGAAGAAAACCCTCGGTCTTTGCGAAACCCCTAAACCTTTAAAAGGAAGACAGGTTGACCTGAAGAACGTTCTGGCATGGATGATTCGAGAGCAGCGGCTGCATGGTTTAGACAATGATGAGGTGGATACCAATCTCAAGCTTGATGGCAGACCATTTTGGGGTAATTATCAGTAGCCTAAATTTTCAACACCTCTGTTAATTTGATTTCATTGGAGTAAGGTGGGTCCTTCCTTCACTATTTTTTGTTTTGGTTTTATTTTTGGGTATGTGCATTTGTATAATATTTGACAAATTGTATAATTAAATTACCTGATTAAGGGAACTTCAACATTAACTTTGTTTCAGGAAAATCTCAAGTATTGGCTGGTCTTACGCCAATTGACACCCCTTTCACATCAAGCCAAAGCTGCAAAGCAGTCTATCCTCTCGCAATAGCCAACTGTACAGAAACAAGGTCTGTATCTATAAAATATAGCATTTACAAAGGAAAAATATGGCAGTTAAAAAATAGGTCATAATTAAATTGATGATACATTACCCTGCAGTTTTCTTACAGGAATAATAATAATAATAATAACAATAACAACAATAACAATAATGCAGAGATAAAAATTATTCCTGCCATTGCTGTGCTCCTTTTTATTAGTCATGGGTAGTTTCAGTATCTTTATAGAATTAATTTGTGCAAAAGTCTTATTTTCTTTTACTTATTTATTAAGAAATTCAATTAATAATATTGTTGTCAGTTACAATATTATGTATATCAATCAGTCTGAGAAGCCCAGATTCCATTATGCACTCAGTGATAATATTAATAAATTTTTGTCTTCCTTTTTATTTTCCCTGACTAAATAATAACCCTGACTATGAATCATTTTTAATATTAATTTTAAAAATCATTGTTAACATTTTTAAAATAATTAAGAATGAATCAAAGTTGGGGGATTTTTTGTGATGAACGTCACAAAAAAAAAAAAAAAACATTGAAAGCATAGTTGGATCCAAGTGTTCAGTACCTCTAAACTATCATGATTATATATAACAGTTAAGGAGTTCTGGGAGGAATAATTTGTCACCATTTCCTCAGGAGAAACCTGGAATTGCTACTGAGAGACCTCACTGCACAAAAAAAGCACATTGAAAAACATGGCCTAACAGTTGATGGCAAGCACTACAAAATTAAATTTACGGGTGTGTATCCTCTTATTCTATTTCACCACTATCTCTGTCACCAGATTTCCTCAAGAGAGTTGTAATGGAATATTCCTGTTAATATCAACATCCATATGTGGTACAATAGAAACCACACTCTACGGGTTTTCACTAGCTACCAAAATTAAGGACTCATGGAGCAACAGTTCTAATTATTACTTCATTTTCATTTAATTACCTTTCTAGAAAATAAATACTTTATGATTGTAATTCATGGGTCCTGCTTAAAATATGTGTATTTAAATAATATGGCTTTTAGTACTTATGTTCAACCTGTTTTACCCTTTTACTACTGTAAAGATTGTTTTCATCACAGTTAGTCAACAAAGCTTCAACTGCATGACTGATGATATTTAAGACTTTTCATCATGATGCTCTTAAGACAGTGTAACTCATGCAGTTACCTTCATCTAATCTGTAAATGGCTTGTTTTAGTATCATATGATAAGGGACTGCTCTTTTAACAACAGTTACAGCTGACTACAAAGCTCTTTTGCTCTGCACACAAAGAAAAACTGGTGAGGAAGTCAAGTTGGGCGGGCATGGAAAAGGAGTAGAAGCCTGCCTTTTTTGTACAGCAATCCGGGTGAGTTTAGTAGTAAAGAAATTCAAGAATAACCAACAGCTGTATTTGCAATGGTTTATTTTTACCTTTTATGATTAATTTGTCTTTATTTTCCCTTTTTGTCTAATGGCATAAAGGGGGTATGATGCTTGGGGATTATACAAATAATTTTAAATATAAATAATATTATTTTCTTAAGTACAAGCTGGGCATGGTTGAATATGGATAACAAAGGTGTGTTTCACTTTGTTAGGACAGAACTAAAACAAAGTCAGTCGTAAGTAATAGGCTGAGAATAATGATACATACCATATAACGATAATATAATAATACAATCTGATTGTTTTTGTCAGGGTTGCAACTGCAAGGGGGTTCCTGCAAATGAAACGTGTGCTGAGTGCTTTTTAAAGGCCAAGGGGAACATTGGAAAGTAAGATATGACTTGATATAAATATTATAATCAAATAAACTGTTTTGTATGGATTTTGGATTTTAATAAAGTATATATAACACTTTTTTCTTTCACAATAGACTCCATGCAAAAATGGGCATTACTTTGATATTCTTCTTTTGGTATTTAAATCAGCCTCACTAACCTTGCTTCAGATAAGATATTACTTGGAATTTTAAACTTGAAAACGAGGTAAGTGAGGCTGATTTTAATTATATCAACAATTATTATATATTATTTAGCATACTAATACAACAGGTATCATTATTTTATCACCTTGTCAATGTAGGTGGACGGGTGTGAGAGATGATCTGTTAATCTTCTTCGATGTTGAAGTTTCTGATGTTAATCTCTGTGCCCTCCACTGTGAGCTTAGAAACACAGAGCAACTTCTTGCATCCCTGGGCCTCACTGCACACAGATGTGGATCACTAAAGGAATGCAACCTCGTGTTGTCCGAATATGGGCCAGAAACAATGGTTAAAGATCGCATCGTTGTAAAGCTGAAGGAAGGCCAACAAACAGATGTAGACAAACACAACATCAAAGTTAGATCATTTTCAGGTACCTGAGTGATGTATTTTTTAAGTTTAACATGTGGCATAATGTTATGATGCATCTTTTTCATTATCGATAATAATTACTTTTTATTTTTACAATTCAAATCATTTGTGACATGGGCTGAGTCCTTATTCACTTGAATGTTCTGATCATGGTTTTTAACACAGGGCCTGAATGGCCAAAATGCAATACAAATGTAAAAAAAAAAAAGAAGTGCGCAACATATGTGCATAACACAAAATGTGCATAACACAAAATATGAAGGAAAGAATTCGGAAAAGAATAAATTGTTGCTGTTGGGTTTTTAGTAAAAAAGGACTTAAAGTACCCAAGGTATAGGAAAGACATGTGGCCTACAGTGGGGGGTAGAATTATAACAAAGAACCCTGCATAATCAGTAAACAGATGCAAGTGCCAGTGAGTTCCAACATACTTCCCCATATTTTCTTTAAACCAAATCTTTATTATTAGCAGAAACATCCATAAGGCAGCCAGTAGCATTAGAGTCACAATTGGGTGTCCACTCATACAGGTTTCAATAAAGTATATACTGTAGATTTACAGTAAGTTACATAATTATATACAGACGGCTGTTTAGTCTTCCTTATTTATGCTATAAATATTTAACTTCAACAGTAATGCTATAACAAGAATTAATGTGACTTTACAGACTAATGGATTTTTACCTAATTTTATTTGCAGGCAACACTGAACAGGCTTTCTTAAACAACTATGAAGACATAGTGGATTCTGCCTTGCCAGTTCAAAAGGTCATGGATCTTTTTCCAGACAAGGAAGCTGCTGAGGATTCTGTTCTTGCTAAAATATCTTACTGTGAAGAAAGAACAGAGGTTTGTTTAACTTCATTCTACTGTGATATATATTATCTTATACACTGAATATTGTCAATGAGGGGCACTTTTCATGTTCACATGTATATTATATAATCACCACAATCAGGAAATATTAGAGTACAACTAAATAGTGAAGTATGACCTTCATTAAGGCAATAATAATGAAAGTAAGTCATAGAATGTTGTCCCAGATTAGTTACAGCTACAATACACTGACAATCAGTCTTTTTATGTTAACTGTTTCTTGCTATTAGTATTACAGAAACCTACTTGAGAGTGGTGAATTTCAACGGGACAATGGAGCAGAGGGCTTGGAAACTGTTCCTATTGCTGGCACAGGTGGGGAAAGACTTCATATATTTACCCTGCAATTGGCAAAATAGAAGCACAATATTTAGCTGAATCTGGCATTACGACCTGTATACACTTTCAACATTCCAGTTTAATTAAAAAAAATCCATGTTAGAAATAATTTTCCATTCAAGGCCCAGTTGTCTGCATTCTGGTTAGCATTAAACTACAGTAGGTTTCTTTATCTTTTTATCAAAAGCACTCTCTCGGGTAAATTTCTTTATTTTTTTTAGAGTATCCAATCATCAATTGTAGGCAAAGAGTATTAAACTCTAATATTCAAATTTTGCAGTAACCCCGAGTTATCTTAACCTGGCTTCAAACAACCTGGCCCAAAAGTCATCAGCTATCTGGCCTACAGCTGCATAGCTTATGATGAAAGAAATTTAGTGCTTTGTTATTTTCAGTCTGCCTCATTTACCTTTTGGTAAATTAATGTTAGTTTTTTTCTATAGATCTTGAAGAATATTTACACGAAAAAAAGAAATTCTGGGAACAATGCTCTAAAGACCTAGAGGACAAGTACACTAACGCTGAACAAGCTGACAACGCACTTGCATTGCGCCAATACGCTGCAGAACTGGAAATTTTAAGATACAAAGAGGTTTGAAACAGTTCACTATAAATTATAATCTATTTAATTTAGTAGTTCACATGAATGTGGCCTAGTATATTGGTAACATCAATATAGTATTATCGGCCTGCAGCAATGATATGAAGCAATCTTAATTTAGTTATAAAAATGTTGATTTTGTTATTGTGCACTTCAGGTGTTCTCTCAGTGGAAAGATATTGCTTCAGTTATACGCCACAGAGTGTTTAAGGATGATGAAGATTATGAAATTGATAAATATGATATCCAGGTAACAACTTATAAAGTCACTATTGAATTTATAGTAATTTATAATTTATAGTATTATGTAACTTGACTTAAATGCCTGTAATGTTTAACACCTGAGTGCTTTTATTTCATCCCAAACAGTGCAAAGAGTGGGGATTTCTTTGTCGTGAACTATTTGGCCTAGGACTTGGTACAGGTGACTATGGGCATATGACCATTGAACACAGTCCAATGCTCATGCGTCGCTTCAAGTCAATGGCACGATACTCAAACCAAGGTTTTGAAGCAGCACACAAAGTTCACAGGCAGCTGTATGCTCATTGCACAAATCATGATTCAACGGCATCTGAGTCATCAAGTGAGTGGATTTAGAAGTCTATAAAACAAACTTGGAGCATGTGGAATATGGCCTTAAGTCACTATATGGATTTGAATAGAGCCGAATTACTTAACAGGAAGTCTCTCAGACCTTTTCCAAGCACACCTGTAATATTGCTACAATATCTCTGCGATTTTATTACCCGTACATTTGTTAAATACTGACTGCTGAGTTAATGCCAACAAAAGATTGGTAAATCATAGTTCTGTTTGAACAAACTACATATTCTATATATAAACCATTTTAATTACTAGTAATAAATACAGTGTAAATAACCTTTTCCTGAATAAAACAGATCTTTGAAGAGAAACAGCACCATTCAAAAATTATTCTACCTTCATAACATTACTACATACAATACAATACAAATTCTATAATAACCTCTATATTTCTTTCAATATTTTAGTTGAGCAGATGTTCCTCCATCGCTATTCAACAAAGCTGTTGTATCTCCGACTATGCTTTCAGCAGGCAAAAAAGTGCTCTGGTTCATCAGGTGAATTTACAAAGCCAGAATAATGTTCTAAATTTAAAAACAAAATACAGAGGTGATGTATATATAATACTTTGCAATACAATAATTAACATGTAAAATTTTCATTCTAATATTATTATAAAAAGCAAACCTGCGATTTTATGTACGATACTCTACTTGCAAATTAACCTCTTGCATGTTCACACTAATAATCCATTTTAATTACCTTTCAATTAGGAAAGAGCTTCTTCTTTCGTGGTTGTGGCTGGCCCTCTACTAAACCAAAGCCAGAATGGTCCATTGAGGATAAAGCTTGGATAGCAACAGTTAACAAGCTAATGGACAACCTATTTGGCAAAGACTACCTTGGTTATCACTATGACAAAAGCAAGGTCTGCTTTGTTAATGAAGAGGACTTACCCGATTTCGAGTACAACCATGATGAATGGGAAGATAGATACTACCAAACCCTGAATTGCACTCCACTGTCTCCTCGATCCCCCTTAGCAAAGAGAGGCAAGAAAGGTGAAGAGTCACAGGCAGAGCAGAAGTTCAAACCTGCAAAAAGATGCCTTTTCCCTGCTCCCAAAGCAAATTCTTGTCCACTGCCATCTGCAGTGAGTGCAAAACAGCAGTCCCAACCAACCCAGCAAATTCAAAGCCCTGTCAGCATACCAAAATCACTAAAACCTGTGCAAGAACCTCTGAAGTTATGCATGTCACAAACTGCAACAAGGCAAGAGTTGTCACAGATTAAACTGCCTCCAGTTACAAATATAATCCGTGAGACAGAAGTTGTGCCTATTTTTGGTAACTTTCAAGAGGACAATCCTTACTCACTTAAGAGTCGTCCTTCTGAACACATAATGACAATAGCACACAAGATCATTAGCACCTGCTCTGCACAGTTGATAGACGGAAATACCATCCAGTTAGATGATGAGGATGATCCAAGTGGAGTCAAAATTGGTACACTGGGAAACTTCGATACTACTGGCATTGACATCCTTTTGAGATACTGCTCCATTGCAAAAATGCAACACAACTTTAGAGATGAAATGGCATGGCTCCATTTCAACCCTGACAAGTTTAGTCTTGGAGAAACTGAAATCAAATACCTCTGCACCTTTTTTGAAAGCAGTCCCCATGACCCATTGCGTGTGGTAACTTCCCTTGATGGAATTAATGTTGATTTCAAATCAGTCTCTACATTGGTTGGTGAGCGTTACATTGACAACTTTGTTATTGATTATTGCTTGAAGAAGTCATTAATCAGTAGTCAGAAACAAACAAAGAGTACTAGTTCAATTCTGTGTTTGCCAGCTGAAGCCTTGTCATGGTTGGAAAATCAAGATTTGGACCCTATCAAAACTGTCATTCAAAAGGACCTCCACCATCCAAATGAACTTAAACTTATCCTAATGCCAGTACACATGGAAGACAAACATCACTGGGGCCTTGTCTGTGTTGACCTTGACATGGTGGCTATATGGTATGATGATGGACTCAAAGTTGCCCCACCAGAAAATCTCTGTAACTCTGTGGGTACTTTGGTCAAGCTTTTGAGAGACATGTTCCCATCAGTTGCTGACAGAATGGCACTTAATCACTTTTCCACACAGCAGTATAGGCGAATAGGCATGCCTCTGCAGAGACTTGATGGTAAGACAGCTGGTGGTGGAAGCTGTGGGATGGGAGTTATATTACTAGGTCAAGATATCATCGTTGAAGAGAGAGTGCCTCCTAGTCGAATCATGTGGACCTTTGAAGAATCCAACTACTACAGGAAGAAACTGATGCTGTATATGCTGACATGATTCACAAGAGACCAGCATTAAAACCTCAGGACACACTAAAATCTTATAACCACTCTATTGACTCTTTGTAACCACGTGGGTAGAACATACCTGATGGTTACACAGACACTCTAATAATCACACCATTTCCTCTTTGTAACCACGTGGGTAGAACATACCTGATGATTACACAGAGACTCTAATAATCACAGCATTTCCTCTTTGTAACCTCGTGGGTAGAACATACCTGATGATTACACAGAGACTCTAATAATCACACCATTTCCTTCTTGTAACCGCGTGGGTAGAACATACCTGATGGTTACACAGACACTCTAATAATCACAGCATTTCCTCTTTGTAACCTCGTGGGTAGAACATACCTGATGGTTACACAGAGACTCTAATAATCACACCATTTCCTCTTTGTAACCACGTGGGTAGAACATACCTGATGGTTACACAGACACTCTAATAATCACACCATTTCCTCTTTGTAATCGCGTGGGTAGAACATACCTGATGATTACACAGAGACTCTAATAATCACATCATTTCCTCTTTGTAACCACGTGGGTAGAACATACCTGATGGTTACACAGACACTCTAATAATCACAGCATTTCCTCTTTGTAACCTCGTGGGTAGAACATACCTGATGGTTACACAGAGACTCTAATAATCACACCATTTCCTCTTTGTAACCACGTGGGTAGAACATACCTGATGGTTACACAGACACTCTAATAATCACACCATTTCCTCTTTGTAATCGCGTGGGTAGAACATACCTGATGATTACACAGAGACTCTAATAATCACATCATTTCCTCTTTGTAACCACGTGGGTAGAACATACCTGATGGTTACACAGACACTCTAATAATCACAGCATTTCCTCTATGTAACCTCGTGGGTAGAACGTACCTGATGGTTACACAGAGACTCTAATAATCACACCATTTCCTCTTTGTAACCACGTGGGTAGAACATACCAGATGGTTACACAGACACTCTAAGAATCACACCATTTCCTCTTTGTAACCTCGTGGGTAGAACATACCTGATGATGACACAGAGACTCTAATAATCACACCATTTCCTCTTTGTAATCGCGTGGGTAGAACATACCTGATGGTTACACAGAGACTCTAATAATCACACCATTTCCTTCTTGTAACCTCGTGGGTAGAACATACCTGATCGTTACACAAAGACTCGATCTTATAACCACACCATTTAACCTCGTGGGTAGAACATACCTGATGGTTACACAAAGACCCTAATAATCACACCATTTCCTCTTTGTAACCTCGTGGGTAGAACATACCTGATGGTTACTCTAAAGCTAAGAATATCATTATTTACTTTTGTCTCATTGTCCCCTAGATATGAAACGCAGTGATTAACAGAGAGCTATTGGATTAACCTATGGTAAGCAAAAAATGAAAATAATGTACAGTACCTTTCAACATTTGCCTCAGTTTGCAATTAGTTAATACTATTATTGTCAGCATTTCCAGTGTTTTGCAATCCTTCTGAACATCGGGATAAAACTGTCTCTAGGAAGCCGGTCTCTCAGAAAAACAGTAGCTGGTCGTTTATTACTCAAATCCTCTTATATTAACTTTGCTATGTTTTACCCATGTTAAAACTGAGCATAGGTGGCTAATTTTGCTGCAGTACTTAGCTGGCTTTAAAAGCATTTTGCTGGCTACTAATGACAGCCTGGTACTTATAGAAAAAAAGAACTATTTCAAACTCACCATGCATTCTACAGTTGTACCCAAGAGAATACCTGCATGGGATTGACCATGTTTGGATACAAAAGTGATTAGGCCAATTATATAATTATGCAACAACAGAAGTAACAACTTTACTTAAGAATGAAAATTCCCCTAGTCAGACAGTAGTACTTAATCACAAAATATATGCCTTGGTCAAGAAATAGTAAATGAAACATAAGAGATAAGAAGTGCGATAGTACAGTGGATAGTTGTGCCTCAGAGAAAAATCCGGTCGCAGCTGGAAGCTTGAAATAAACGACCCAAACTAAAGCAGCCAAGCCGCCGCCGCCCCCGCTCCCGCCCCCCCCCCCGCCCCATACCATATCGTAGTGTCATTAATTTGTACTTAAATCTCTCTTAACGTTGTAGTCCTGTTTTTAAGCTTTCTTCTGTATCTGTATCTATGACTCGCGACACACCAATGAGCTTTATGATTAAGTTATGTTGCATTAACAATTAGGATGAAGTAGCATTCATTTTCTCGCCTTACCTGTTTGTGTTATTCTCGCCTGGCTGTCGCTTACGTTGAGAAAACATTAACTGACCCTCTTAAACCAGTAGATCGAATCATGTGCAATGTAATTAGTACGTATCACAGTCAACTACTAGTCGATAACAGTCGTCTTACTGGTCTCATCTGTCTCACTCAGGACTCAGCAAAACTTCAAAACTTAGCGCGACTCATGAGCAGCGGTCTCTCTACTTGTGCCCAGGCTCTGAAGGTTAATTTTCCACGAGTGTTAACTTTCTTGTTTTGTTTAAAGGTTGCCTCAAGTTTTCCTGCAAGGTGCAAATTACCATTTGGCCACTCAGGTTTACGAAGAATTCCTACCTTTTATGCGGAAAGACAACAGCAACGAAGGAACTGGAGGTAGAAGGGGGAAGCCTTGCATTGCACTCCCGCAAGGAAACCCTGTAGTGTCGGACGTAGGAATTAAAGTTTGACATTGTACTCTACGGGTAACAAAACCAACGGCTCTTTTAAGAGCCACCAGATTTATAAAGCGATGGCCAACTGAGATGCGGGTGACCTAAATAAAATCTGTCCAACATAACTAACTCATACAAAGTTTTCATGTGCCGGAATTTATGATTAGGTTCAAAATGGGAGGATAAGGGTATTGACGAGAAAATAATGGAGACTTGACCCTTAACCGTCAAAAAGGGGATATGAAGTGCTTAGCATTAAAACTTGCGAGATTCCGCTCGAGAACGTTTGATATTGATCAATTAGTCAAACAAAGCCCCACACTCAGAACAATCACAGAGCGACATCTTACAGTGACCTTTGTTATGCGAATTCGTACACAATAGAAATTGAGATGCAGTAAAAATTCCACTACAATTCCAAAGTTTAGCACGTAATTGCCACTTTGATCGGGTTCAAAACCAAGACTTGAGCTTCAATGAATGACTCAAAGAAAGATAGAAAGCGACGCCGGCGAGAATCAGCGAAGAACGAAGATAGTGAGACCAGGAAGAAGCGTAACAGTCACTACAAAAATTTAAGAAAACTTCAGAAGAAACGCCGAAAGGAAAGAAAGAAAGCTGGCGTTGCTGGAAATGAAGGAAGGCAGGAGCAGAAGCCGCAAAACGCGAGTAAGCAGAACAGCGCAGAGGGTCAGGATGCCAGAAAGAGAGATTTCTCAAGAGGAAAACGACTGGTTTCTGCCGCTCTCAATCGAAATGCGGAGGAAAGCCGAACCAACAAACGTTTGAAACCTACAACGCAGACAGCTGGAGTTGCTCAGAACATTGCTCAGTCAAGAAGCAGTACGCTCAAAGAAATCAGCCCATCGAATTTAAGGCGAGTGATGGGATCAAAGCTCATTGGAAGCGGTACTTTCGGCACGTGCTTCCTCGCAAAATACCGTGATATCGAAGTTGTCGTTAAAGAATACAAGGGCGCGTCCAGTTCCTCCACGGACAGAGGCTTCGAAAGGCGTAGGAAAGAGGCTACCCACGAGGCTAGAGTTATACAGCAGCTAGGTGACCATCCTGGAATACCTCTTTTTGTTCGGGGTGGTCCTGCAACAACAGCCAGTCAGCATCGTACTAAAGTTTCATGGAAGCGGGGATAACAGCCTTACCTAATCAAAGCTGCAAAGGAGAAGAAGATAGCGAAAAAGGACTGGCAGAAAATATTTTGTGAGGTTGCAGATGCCCTGAAACACATTCACCAATGCGGCTACATACACAATGACCTGAAGAGCAACAATGTAGTCCTTGAGACGAGTGAAAGTATTCCGCGCCCAAGACCTGTAATCATCGACTTCGGGAAAAGTGTTTTGGCAGTAAAAGCGAAGAAACCTACTGCGAAACCAGTCTGTGTGCGAGGAAACTACAAGAACAGCTACATTGCCCCAGAGTTGATCGACGGTACATGCAAACCATCTGTTAAAACTGACATTTTTGCTTTTTGCTTTATGATCAAGTCAGTGTATAGGCTTTTGAAATTTAATTTCCCTCCAATTGTGGGAGACACTCTTATCCAGCCTCCACAAAGTCGGCCTTCAATTGAAAAGCTAAAGGAATGTTTAACAGAGTAACAATGCACAAAGAGAAACAGTACTGACAGTACCGGCTGGAAATCCAAACCAATTTGGTTTTGGAAGTTATTTTTGCCCACGTGGCGGGTATTTCGCTGCAGTTAGGCTTTTACCGTCTGGTATCAGTTTCATTGTACACTCTAAAAGCAAAGTTTAGTTACAGTTTTATTATAGAAAAACCTCTCAAATGCGTCGTTCTATTTTGGTTTTCTTACAAATTGTATTAAGGGTGACAGGTTTTTTTAATGCGAGATACTTAATATTTAAAATCTATGTACATTTCAGTTAGCTTTCAAATGCATCAAAACAGATTAAATATTGTGAGTTTTTAGAGCAATCCGTTCATATAACATGATCAAAACAAGAACAAATACTATTTACAACACATTTTACTAACGTGTTCCAGTTCTTCTTATATCCATTCAAAAAAGGTAACAATAAAATGTTGTCAAGTTACCGGATATAAAAGTCTTCTTGCACCGAGGTTATTAACATGAAGAAAAATAACATTAACTTGCATTAAATAGACAAAAGTATTTACTCCGAAGGGTGGTTTTCAATTGGAAAGTGACACATGTTCCACGAAAAACCTTAGCTTGACATGTCCACAGTTTGCATGAGCATAAACTTTCGGCCACCACTGCAGCTGAAATTCGCGGGTGCGGGGCCATTCTCCTTCTTCGCATTTTAATGAGCGTCTTGCTGTTGGTTTCTCGGACGTAGCTTTTGCTGCTCCCCAACGAGTACCCGCGCGTTGCCGGGCTAAAGCCACCTTGTCTTTTGCAGAGAGCTCCACGGCTGTAAGTGGAGCACGTACCTCCTCGTTGTTTCGGAAATAGGCTTTTCACTTTAGCGGCACTGAAGTCGTTGCGAAAATATTGTTGAGGGAAGATGCATCAAAAACATTGTACCAAAAAGAAGTTGAAGAATCCTGTTTAAGTGGCGGTGGATGCCGTGCCTCTCTTACCGAAAATGGCTTTGACAATCCCAGATCAAAAAGAAGGTTTTCAAAATGTGCTATCGGTACCATGATGAGGTCTATTTTTATCCACTTACTTTTTACATCTGGCTTTAAAAAGGAATTTATCAGTTCTACAACGCCGTTCAAGAACTGTTTGTAGGCGGCCTCATCAGACGCTGGCACTTTTCTCGGTAAAGGCAAACACACAGGCTCGGTCTCACCATGATTAAAAAATTCAATGTCTCTCTCCTGGAAATTATGCCCCTTCCTTTCACAATGTTTCTTCAACGATCTTTGCGTTGGGAATTCACGAAAACAGGTAGAACACTTTGTTTTTAAAGACGGCATTGTTAAAGAGCAAACTGGCCTTTAAAAATGGAAGATCGAAAATGACAATTTCCTTTTGTTAAGCCGAGATACGGCGAGTTAAAAATTAAATTTCACTGTCATTAAAGGAACAATTAACTTGAATCGCGAACGCAAACGTATTTCCGGTTGTAGCCAGAGATGTAGCTTTTACAAATCTTTTATTTCACATACTAATACATTTACAGAATACATGATGGAATAGAATATGAAAGGGCTGATAAAGCGGGAACACGTATCTTAATAAAATGCGCTTTAAAGATGTCCAGGAACAAAATAGACTAAAGTTTTCTAGCTAGCCCGAATGAAAAAAAAACGTTTCCGGAAAAGCAGCTCTAGTTCCTTTCTCTTAACCAGAAAATGCTTATCCCTATGTACTGGACTTAAAACCAGCATCGATTCGCCGAGATTTGAGGGCCCTTTTATAATATACCGCTTTGCTTTTTGTGAAAACGTGACCATATGATGCATGTGATGTGATGTGATGTTTCGATATGTCTAATTTAGCTTCACGGCGTGATAGCTCCTCATTAGTAAAAGCTACAAGTGATATTTTGATTGACATATGATTTAGGATCCCGAGGTTTTTTAACACCTTCTCTCTGGCTTAATAGGCGAAGGTATTCTAGGAATTTGCCCTTCAATTCCAAATTCTTTGATGTGCCGCCAGATGCCGCGCAAAAAAATCACCCCTTGCGGCTCCTCGTGCGACTGCCCATACTCCGTGGACAGAAGAGGAAAAAGAAGCTGTTTTCAAGTATCTCGCTCCCTGGATTAGACGAGGACGTGTTCCTGGCAAACGTGACTGTGAGGATTGTATTGCCAAAGCAAATGCGCCTTAGATCGTAGGGAATGGACAGCCGTAAAATATTATATTAAGAACCAGAATGACAAAAGAAAGAGGGTTCTCACAACTATAAATAACAGTTTGTAGTTTGCTATTGTCATCCTGGCACGGTCCTAGTTACTTCAAATGAGATTAGCACAGTGAATGAAATAATAATGTTGTAAAATGATCGTAAGATTATTAAGCTTTTTCTTTAGTGTTAGACTACTTACGCTGACAATTGGATTGCATATAATTGGTGCTCATAAGCTTTTGACAACAATAGGTGTCTCCTTGTGTGGGAAATCTGTAATGATACCAAGTTGGAGTATCGAAGAAACTAAGAATCATTTTTATATTGTTCTACATCATTAGAGGCATCATGTATTGAGCAGTGAATCAGCAATGACAATTTTTTTGAAATAAGTATTTGTTATTTGCCGGCGCTGGTTCATCCGCATTGGGAAAAACTGTTTTGACTGAGTACGGCCATACTCAAACCCAAGGGTACAGTTTTTCCTAATGCGGACGAACCAAGGCTGGCAAATGACTTCTTTATTTAGTTACCTATTTTTCTCGCTACGATGCTGCTTTAAAGCATATTTCGTGTTGCCTTTCAGTTTAAATCTTGCGTACGCTTGAGTTTCGAGCACAGAAAGCGATACTGCTGTATGCAGAAATTGTAGGAGTTGAGGTCCGGTAATGCAGACAAAATTTTTCTTCAACTTGTCTCGCAATATTGTTGCATTGCAAGTTGAAACACTCTTTTCGTTTGATAGCAACTTTTCTCGCAGCAAAATAGTGTTGTAAGTCGAGGCAACATGTTGCGCAAAGTAGACTCAAGTTCTATTTTCTGTAACAAATTTTAGTTTTGCTGCTCGTATTACCACTGAAGCTACAGCTTGTCTCGCAGTAAATTTGAATTCGACGCTTATGATTGGCTGTCGCAAAGCGCGGCAACGCGGCAAAAAAAAAAAAAAAACACATGGCGGACGGTGAAGAACAATCGGAATTCGAAGTAGGCCAGTAACTCACTGAAAGTAATAAATTTGCCCTGTGCAAAGACCTCAAGGGCTATCCTAGTCTTTGGGGCGCCTCGTTTGTCCGTTCGAAACAAGCGGCAAAACAGACAAAAGGCTTGGAAGAACTGTTGCAGAAATGCAACTTTTCGCCTAGCTATCTATTACAACAACAAAACTTTATTTCGTTCTGAAACAACACTGAGCTTCATACTGAGAGAACTTCGCTGGCACGGAAAATTAAGAAAATAATGGCCGGAAGGCGCCATCTTTATTTGCACACGATTGACCAATGAAAACGTATTCTCTATTTTCCAATTGCCCATAATTCACTCTTTTGCCCCCCAAATTTTGAATAAACTAATGTGAAATTCTCTTGGGAATACGCAGACCTCCCAAGAGAATTTCACATCAGTAGTTAATGCAAAATTTGCGGGCAAACAGAGTGAATTATGGACAATTGTTTAATAGAGAATAGAATTCGCAGACTTGCAACACTGTATTTTGCTGCAAGACAAGTTGGTCACAAACGTGGTCATACGCGCAACAGAGGATTGCAACTTGCAATGCAACAATGTTGCGAGACAAGTTGAAGAAAAATGTTGCCCGTATTACCGGACCTTTATTTACATGTGACGCAGTGAAGGGAAACATTACGTTTAACAAGGTTGGTTTTTGGCCCAAAATGTCCTTTATATAACAAAAATCGATGTTATTGAAAATTGAAAACGTACGGCTTAAAAAAAATTGACCGGGGTCCGGGTGGACAAAGCCGGACCGCTGGAGCGCGCGAGATTAGTTAATCAGATTGAAGGATTTAAGAAACCGGACCACCGAGAGGTTGGAAGAAAAAACAAGGTGTAGTATCGCAACACAGAATGCGATACAAAGAAGCGGCCGACTCAGCGACAGCACTCTCGGAAGACTTAGTAATGTATTTCTACCGTTAAATTTTGTACAAGCATTAGGCCTAAACGAACTAGTAAACGTGGTTTAGAAAAATACGGAATAGCAGTTGCATTTGGTCGTCTCAGAACTTGCGGACGTGCTTAGTTTCCTATCGTATGTCCAGAAATGTTCATCTCTGCTCATTAATTTTCATTCTCTAATCAACCACGCGTTCATCAATGCGGTACGTGTATTAGTTGTCCGTCCGCGAACGCACTTCGTTCCACAGGTTCGGACTACGGATAATTCTGCTGTTTCGTTGAATGCATGAGTCATGCTGAAACGTGGATTTCAAAAGTTGTATCGTGTTTATTAAAATGCTTGTTATTAATTGGTGAATCGCATTTACGTTTTAAAGCTGCTAACCCATGTTCAACGGTACTGTTTGAAGCCACCAACAAAATCGCACAGAATAGCAGTAGACTGCAAAAAAACCGTATTTTTGCGTTGGTCATGAATGCGAACGTTTGGCTTTCATCTTTCCGCTATTACCGGTATATACTGTACTCACCGTGACAATCATGTTGTCATTTCTTTTTTTGTGTGTGTGACATGTAAAAGATAGACCAGATTAGAGTTTGTACAAAGTGATCTGGATTTGTAAACTTGGATTCATGAAAAGTGGATCTGTCAATCGGAGTCGTAGTCAGAAGCGCAGAGGCGTTGTGATCTAGTGAATTCTGCTCATGACTCTGTCACTATGATCTAGCAGGAATCGAACTAACTGAACCAATCACAATGCATCGAAACGAGCTTTGTAGAGCTCTATTCTACCACTGAATTACACTTTACGCCGAGATAACGACTCCTAGTTTTGATTTTCACTGAGTCATAAGTGCTATTACGACGTCGCTTAATGAAACCAAGCCCAGAAAGGTGTTTTGGTAGGACATGAACTTGTTCATTAACCGTGGATTTGTAAAACTGGATTTGCAAACATTGATTTTTACAACCCGGACCATGTTTTCCAAATCGATTCTAGTTGCAATTTTACAACATGCCACGTTGTACAGTGATCGGAATGTTTAGGTTACTGTTTTTATCGCTCAGATTTGCCAGTAGATTTTAATCAAATTTCATGACGTAGATAAACAAGACGTATCAAGTGTTGTATCTAACTTTTGAAAGAGGTTTAACTTGTAGAATGTCGCAGGTTTTCTGGAGAAATGCCTCTCCACATAGAGGGAAATGGTTAAGAACCCATTAAACATCGAAGAAGCAAACACTGAAACAGGCTAAGATTTATGTTGGAAGGTCCTTGACCCTGCACATCTTTTCAGTTTTATGCTCAATGACTGCACGAATTACATAATCGAGATGCTTCTAAGTTGGTTAGTTGTATGAGCACACATAACCACCTATTGTATTTTGCCAGGTTTTGTACAGGGTCAACCCCCAAAATAACCAACAAGAACATACAAGAAAGAACTTCAGTTTGCCAGGTTTCATAACCATGTCCCTCTATCAACTATGCTTTCCTTAAGGATTCTTCAGTGTTTTGGTGTGTGATACTTTGTCTCGTTAATTTCACGCCTCAGGGAACAGTCATTAAAGAGCCCTAGTCAGCCATACTTTTTTTTTTGTTTATATGCGAGAGTTTGGCTACTACATTTTACTCCGATGTGCAAACGAAGGAACTCACTGTGAAACTACTAAAGATAATTAAACATACTCTCTGGAACATCATTTACAGTAAAGCCATCATATTTTGCGTCTCCATGCAATATCAATACCTTCGATGGCATCGACAATGGAAGAGGCTGACTAGGGTCCTTTAGTGCTTAATTATCTATGTATGGAAAAACAAGAGAGAGCGTCAATTTTCAAGCGGGAGCTTTCACTGGCGCAAATGTAACCATTCAAAATGATAAAGATTGTTTTAGTGTTTAATTGAAAGCTTAGTTTCATTTTGTATTTTGCATCACTTTCATGATGTATTTGTCGGAAATTTTCTTTGGAGGAAATTATAGTTGTGCTTTGTTAAGGTATGTTTCTTTGTTTGTTTGTTTGTTTTTATCCCCCTGTTGAATAATGTCTAATTTTCAAGGAAAAATAGTATGTTTTGTTTTCCCTCAAGTTTTGATGTTTCCCCGACTTTGTCTCTAGAAACAGCGAGACTTGGGAAAACCAAACTTATCATTTCTCTTTGGGCCAGACGTGGAGTGGATACTTTCATTAACCGATTCCTTTGATTTCAAAGAAACATCCGCTGGACGGAAAGGCTTAAGAAAAGAGCAACCAAGCCAACTGTTTGTGTCTACAATAAGCTGGGAAAACCTCGCTAAACTCGTATTGAGTGAAATCCCGGCTAGGGTGGGAAAAACCTCATATAGTGAAAGTTGGCAGGTTTGGTCCGTCATAATTACATCACCTTAGGTACTCGGCAAAAACTTTCTTTGAGGGCAGAACGTGCAGATATTGATATTGTTTACTGCACAGGTTAACAAAGCTCAGTTTCCCTTTTTACTACCACTGAGAAAATAGAAATGATAAATTGGACTTTGCTATAATGTGAAAAATAAGAGCTCTTGTGTTTTTCATTCTTAATCCTCTATTTTAATGCAGTTTGAATCCGTTTGGTGGATGTCAGATTAAGGGAAGTGAGAGCTAAATCCCCTAAGAGAAGTAAAAATCTACGAAACTCTTATCAAATAGGTCTTTCTAATTGAGCAAATGATTGTCCAACAAGCACGAGTTGGGTGTATTGACGTGTCCCTATACGCACTGTCCAACTAGTTCCCACAAGTAAGGTGTTTTGCCATGTGTACTGTATCAAGATGCAATCCCCACAAGTCGGGTGTGTAGCTCTGTGTGCCCATAAGTACTGTCCAGATCACAGTCCCCGCAAGTAGGCAAAGTTCGCAATGTAAAGTGTCCCCACAACAGTGTCCCCACAAAAAATATTGGCCTTTTTCTAATTTCGACCAGATGTTTTAAGAGGCCAAGAAGTCAGCTAATAAATGCCCCAGTATCATTTGGATAACTGCTGTGGAAAAGGGTGTCCTCGCAACTAGGGTCTGGAAATATGGTCCTCACAAGAATGCAGGGGTGCGTATGTGTGTGTGAGTGTGTGTGTGTTTGTTAAAAGATTTCAACTAATCGTAAGACTTTAAAACAATAGCCAATGTTCCTCGCGTAGGATTTTTTATTCAGAAGGGATTTGGTTATAGGGAAGTTGGCTAGAAAACAAGGGATTTATATATATGCTGCTTTCCGAAGATCTCGCAAAATTTGATGTTTAAACCAATCAAAAGTGTAGTAGAGAAAATAGCCAAGATAGCATCTTTTTGCTTTCCGACGTGTTCATTGCGTTTGGTTCTTTCCTTCTTATCAGGATTATTTCTTAATCGCAACAGGTGTCTCATTTTAGCCAAACAAACAAGTGAGCAAACACACGAAGAGGAAATCGTTTGGAACTATGCCGGAAATAGTAAATGCTAACTCAGCGAAAAGAACTGTTTGCCGAGTATTTTTATTTTCGTATGAGATATAAAAAAATAAGACAAAATAAAGAAATAAATACGGAAATAAGGCCCGCAGAACGAAATCGGATTTTTTTGTATTTTTTTTATTGGTTGCATAAACTCTTCCAAACACTATCTTATTACCTTCTGAGCTTTCCAAATGGAAAATAACGTAACGAAGATTGCGGCACAATTAAAAACAAGAATAAAGGCCACAGGCACCCCAAGGACCAGGAGAAGTGCTTTTCCATTAGAAATCCAGCACAGAGTATCACCTAGAAAATACAGCATCAACAGGATTAAAAAAACAAACAAACAAACAAACAAAACAAAAAACAAACACAAAAAAACTGAAGACTTCATCATCTTGTATCTACTGTAAAACTGAAGACAAGTTTTTTTTTGTTTGTTTATTTTTTTCCCTCAAGAAAGAGAAGGTGTGGGGGAGGTGTTGGTCGACATATTTATATCATTCAATTATACTTCCACTTGAAAAGTATCAATACAAATATGTGGAGCGGGTGTCTAACGTGAGGATTTTTCATCGTTCATCAAATCAGCGAAAATGGTTGGTGATCTAACTTACCATATCCAATAAAAACCAGCCCGGACGTGTCAAGAGCAAAGCTAGTGATCACTATAATTGCGGGAATTGTCCAAGCATAAATGTGGTACTTTATCAAGGCTACCTTGCTGCTTCGTGAGCGTGCCGAGCGGGAGGTCTGTCCTGTTTACGTTGCATAAAAAAAAAATCAAAGTAAACAGCTAATTATTTCGATGTCCATTTATTAATGAAAAAGCGACTTTTTAAAACATTTAGTTATAAAAGAAACACGTAAATCATTTTTCTTAAAAAAACAAAAACAAAAACAAAAAAAGAACATTTCGATAAGTTTTTTAAAAGTTAAAAAATATATGACGTTTCGACGTTTTGGGACGTCATTATCAAGTAAAAAAAAGTACAGTATGAATGTTCTATGAATACAAGAAAAAAATGTTCAATAAAAAGAAAAGTAAGATATCAAAACTAATATAATGCAAGTTAAACTGAAGAGTTTAGCACTAATGGAGTCACCCTTTCAATAATGTAAAGAATACGCCTAGCTAAGTTCTTTGATAAATAACGTTTCGTAAAGGAGGCAGCCAAGTGTTTCCTTGACACTTTTTAAGAGGTGAATTTGACTCTCATTAAGAGTATTTTTGTCACCGTGAGCTTATAAAAAATGTTTACCGATAGCTGAATGTTTGTGTTCAGCAAAAAACTGGTTGGTATATTGTTTGTTTACATCGCTTTGGAATTCAAGAGCATTTAAGAGAAACTCGATGACACCTCGTAGGCTTAGTGTGCCCGTTACAACAAGAAAAGCTTGAAGGAATTGCAAATTGCAACCATCTTCACTTGATTTTTAATAAGGAATGTTTCCCTAGGTTAAATATTTCTGTGATTTTGCTAAAAGGTGCCTGCGTAGCTACCTAACTGTGGGTGGCTGGCTAGCCTTTTTGTGTCAAAAGTAGGGGTTACAGAGGGGAGATTTTGTCATTTTGATTATACTTTCATGTCAGAATTGAAAACAGTGAAAAGTCAAGGATCGTGTTTTTCCTGTCGGCTAGCCCAGCCAGATCAATGCTCCGACTCATATCATAATGCTACTAGCAAAGCTTGGGGGAGTGACTGACTATTCATAAGTGTCATGGGTGGGGAGAGCGAGTTCTTGCTCCATGAACTTGGCTGTCTAGAGACTGAGTACAGGCACATTGTGTCAAATCCACACAGATATTTAATAGTACAATAAAATATAAAAGTAAGAAATAGAATAAAATAATTTTTTAGAAACTGTGGATTTTTTTTGTTTAGAAAACGCACACAAACTATACGACGTCATAGCTTTAAGCCGGGTTTGAACCATGTTTTCAGGGTTATTTTTCATGGATATTTCGGGGATAGGCCCTATGGAAGAAATTCAAAATGACAGAAAGCGAAAACTACGATAATCTCTATATATTGCGTCATGTACTGTAGGCCAGAGAACCTGACGCCATGGTGTTTAAAGAAAACAAGAGGATCATTCTTTAAATACCTTTGTTTGTGAACGTCTTAGCAACATCGAAGGCCATAACACTCATCCAGCAGAAGGACGAAAGCAGAAAGAAATGAAGCAAAATGGATACAACCATACAAAGGTGTGGGAGGTTAGTCTGACCGGACATTAAAAAGACGGTGTGATAAAACAACATGGAAGCTGACAAACTCATCAGATTCTTTCCAGGAAGCGTTCGAAGCTCTGCAAGAGTGATATAGACTCCAAAGAGAAGTATCAAGGACGCCATTGATATTGCACAACCAACGTATGTCAATATCTGCCTTCCTGATAGGTTTGCTACTTTCAAAATCATTGTCGTTTCATTAAACTTTCGCGTATAATTAACGCAAAGAAACAACGTGGAGCCATTAACAAAGTAACTCTCGTTACTGTATGTTCTTCTATGCAAAGGAATGCAGATCGAACCATTTGGCAAAATAGTTACAGAACTCAAGTCAATTTTAACAAAACTTGTACCTAGGCAGGTGTCACGAAAAAAGGATTCATTGTTTTTTCGTGAGTGGGCCACAGTAAGTACTTTGACGCATTGGTCTGTAAAAGGATCAAACAGGAAACCGTTATCGCATTCCTTGTTTTGCACAATTGTCTTTTTATTCCCTATTTTAACGCTATGACTTGCAGAGGAGAAGTCAAATAGGATATCCAAAGATGGAATGCCAGGCGAAGGCCCAGAAGTAGGTTTCTTACCGTAATAGCGTCCACAAAAGTAAGCACTGATGTCATTTCCGCGGCACACCTCACAGTGAGGATTTTTTCTTTGAAAACTTCCACGAACGGGAAAGACATAAAAGGAACAGAGACTGGATAATAATAGTGAATTGTATGGCTCAGATTGTTCACACTGGACTTTTACCCCTAGACAGTTCTTTGGATTAATGTTAACAGGCGGAACTGAAAATTCCCAGTCGCAATTCTTCCTTATAAATTCCAACATCAACGTTCTACGTCTTGGAATATCACTAGGCGCGAGGCGCCCTTTGCAAGAAGCGGAAAATTTCCAGTAAACTGGCTTACCAGCGTGATTGCATTTGGCACAGAAAATATTCTTGTAAGCGCTCTTGTCGTCTAAATCGAACACAGGCAGCTCGAAAGAAGAAGACGTCGCAGTGCACAAGGTTTCCAATCTCTTTTCAGAGTTGTTTGATGGACAGCTGCCAATCATCGTGTAGCCATATAAGTCGGTGTTGTTCGTCTTGACACAAATGTGTCTTGAATGCTGACGTCTATGTGTAAGATCAGCCGCACACCTAACAATCAAAAATGGAAAACAAAGAAAATAGGGAGAGAGAATCCATATTAGATTACCCAAATAGTAGTGCGATAGTATTATACATTTCAAATGTCATAAAGGAGATTATGCAAAATCAGTCCATTACCAAATCCGGCCGATTGATCTCAGCCCAAACCTACTTCGTGACGTAACACAGTAAACAGGTAAGTAACGTCAACGTACTTGGGAACTGTACGAAGCTATAGCATAGTAGAAGGTGAGATCTGCTGGTCAACTACCGGACCCTAAATAAACTATAAGGTTTGAGGCTTAATTAATCACAGTACTTGAAGGAAGTCGGCTTAAATTATATTGCATATTTACTAATCGCTTCCTACGATCAAATTATTTATTCATTTTGGGGAGGGGGAGGGGGAACTTTCAAATAAAAGTATTAGAATGCAGTCAAATACAGTACGTGTAAGCGCATTGCACGGTGTCTAAAATTTAAGAAAGGGTATTACATGAAGCTTCCTTCAGTATCATTAAAAAGGAATCTTTCAGACCGATTAAATGAACGATGTAAATCTTTCGGAGCATTTGACTTACCATTCAAAGTAGTCGAAGCAACAATCACCAAGCTCAAGGCAAAGCTTATCGCAGTAACAGAGTTTCCGGGACATTCTTTCTCGAGTATCGCTGCTGTCATTCAGTGGACAGATGTATTTGCAAGATGGTGGCGTGCATAGGTTGTCCAACCAAAAACGAAAGCGGGTCATATTCAGTTTGATCAGAAGCTTCTGCATGCTGATACGCTTTTCATAAAACTGAACCACAAAATCTCTAGAAACTGAAAAGAAGAATTCATGGTAGCGCTGGTGGTGGTTGTATTCAAACAAAGCGGAATCGCTGACGAAATGGTTTTGTCTCTCCTCTTAAGTTTGGTCGTGGCCACCCCGTTAGACATCAACTATCGCACAGTTGATTGCCCTATCAAAGATTCTTGATAAGTCGGAATTCGGTGAATGTTCCTCAACAATTAGGCTTTTTAACAAAGTGTGCGGGAAATTTTCCAAAATTTAAATTTGTCTTGCTTCCCAACTGATAAGTTCTAACAAGTACGAAAAAAACTGTCTGCGGCTAAATCCGAGCTCAGAAGAAGACTTACCACTGTCATGCTGATGTCTATCTGCATGTATTTTTGACCTATCTACTTTCTTTGAATTATGAATTTGGGATCATTATTCGTTTCAGGGAAACTTTCCACCTACCCCTCCCCTGAGACAACATTAACAGTTACTTCACACTTACATAGTAAAACAAAATGTAGACTAGGGGAGGGGTAGGTGGACAGTTTCCCAAAAAAGTATAATGATCCTGAGTTTGTTTGTACGTCCTCTTCGACAGTTTAGAAACCAGAAGGTTCTGGGACGAGGTAACTTTCGAAAAGACCTCTGGGATCGTAACTTGTACACACCGGTCAGCTTTTGGCCAATTTTTTTCTCGTGTCCCCTGTAACAGTTCCAGAAGTGTAGCAAAATTTAACCCTTTGACGTCCTCGCAAATTCATACCCCCACGGCGGTACACAAAGGGTTAGGGGGGGAGGTGGGGGAGTGGATGGAACCCTTCCCCGGAGTTTTTTTTATAAGTTGCAGTATTCTGTAACGATTTTACCTTTAGTGGAAAGCCTTTGATCTTCTTAAAGGGATACAGTCAGCTCATGCACATGCTCATTAGATACCATTCCTTAGCTGATTTGCATGTCACAAGACGCGCGTGAAATAGAAAGTGAGAGGCGTATCCGGAATTCTCTTAACAAACCTTGAAGTAGTTACAAGCTGAAATCGTGATTATAGACCCTAAGCCATATTAGAGCACTCATCTTTTAATATACCATTGATAATTCACTGGTTGATTTGTTCCAGGGAAAGCCAAACAGCGACGAATACTTCCGAATTCGAACATCAGTAGAGGTGAGAAATTGCACGAAGCATGAATCATTGTTAAAGGTTCAAGGTCGCGATAGCTTGATTTTCCAAATTTATGCAACCTTTTCCATAGATTTCCTAAATATGTGAAAGGTCGCGAAAGCTTGATTTTCCAAATTTATGCAACCTTTTCCATAGATTTCCTAAATATGTGTAACGATTATTTGCTCGCCAAAGTTACCAATTCTTTTCTCTTGTTATTTTGGTAAACAAAGGCGATTTCACTTGCCCGGCGCCTACGCGTTTTGTCACCTCTTCTGTTCATGTTCCTTTGAATACTGTTCTTAACCAAATGTGATAAAATAATGTACAATAGGATGAGTAAAAGTTTGCTCAAAAAGAGGTTTTCATTAAAAGATCGAGGATCAAATGTAACAGTAGGCAGGATTGAAGCGTATTTCTAGATGTATCCGACGCGTGGATTAATTTCGGGTTAATGTAAACGCTTTGCAAACTGGAAAAAGTAGTGTCCAGGTCAGCGCGGCCCAATAGCTGACTGTACCCCTTTAACAAGAGGAGGTATATTTCATGGGTGATGGCGCTGCTGGAAGCCTGTGACGTCACCAACAATGGTTGTCATCTCGGCTGCCACTTTAGATTTTACCATGAATTAGAAATCAGGTTAAAACCTCCAGAAATGGTACTTTTTTGTGCTTTAAATGAAAAATAACAAATAAGCACTTTGCATGATTTTAGCCACAAGATTTACTGTTATTGTTAAAAGAAGCTGAAAACACATGTATTTTCACCCAAAACTGGCTTGACCACCTGCTACTTATGACGTAATATCTCGTAGCCATAGCATGTGACCATCCCTAAACTTGTCTCAAAATCTGCCCGAGGGATGAACGAACACCTACTGAAAACATCAGGTGCTGATGTTTTATCCCCTAGAGAGAAAAAAAAAAAAAAAGAAAAAGAAAAACCCTATAAAGGGATGGTATCCCCCTCCCCCCGCCTTGTACGTCCGAGGGTTAACTCAGCCCAGTTTGGTTTTCGTTTCTTACGTTGCGAATGACCATGACGATGGTGAACACAAAGATGATAATGGCAATGAGGATTTTTATGAAGGAGATTACCCAATTTGATTTGTTCCGTTAATTAAAAGCTAATCACAACATTGAAACAGTACAATGACTAACCGGGGTCTTTTGAACTTGCAGATGGAAGTGGACGTGGTGAAGGTGTCATTCCTGTCCCCGTGGAAAGGAACAGGCCAAAAAGAAGACAAATCGAAGACAAGCAATACATTATTTGCCACGCAGAGTTCGCAAGGCTGCGACTGCACACTGAGAGATAAAGCGAACATCTATGAGAATTTGGTAAGCGTAATGAGTCTACACGCGATTAAATTGGAGACAGTGGCCACAAGGTTAACTTCTTCGTTTTTTCCTTTTGTTTATGTCTGTTTGTTTGTTTGCTGTTATGAGTTTCTTGTAGTAGTTTTTTTTTAAGTACTTTGATTTGGTGTAACTCGATCACACAACAGACTATGACGAACCATTTATAGCAATGTTCTTAATTATTAAAGAAAAAATAAAACTAACACACAATTTAATTGAGAAAGAAACAGGAAAGTAATATCCAAAAGATCGATCTGTTTTAAATTTCACGAAAAAGAAAAAAATGAAAAGTTTACAAGAAGTATATATATTTTTTCGAATTTCAAACTCCTTGCACTATGTGAAAGGTCTGAACCTATGAGTCCATTTCAAAAGTAGCTTGATTTTGATCGTCCGGGTGAACGTAGTCCTAAATAGGACTGTTGTTGTTGACAGTGACTGACGTTTCGACAACCTGTGCGGTAGTCAGTTAATGGTATTATACTCTGGTTATTGATCTGATTGGTCAATTACGTCGCAATGTTATTTTGTCGTCTGTCACTATCGCCCCCCCCCCCCCCACTATCCTCCCCACCCTCCTCCTCCTCTCCCTTTTCCCAATAGAGTTGGTGGCAAAATCGGTATTCTTGGGGGATCCATTTCAAGCTGTGTATACTAGAAACTCAGCTGTTTCTTTCACTTCACTGTTTCTTTCTTTCTTCACTGGACAGGGCTGACTCCGTTCAATTCGTAGAGCTCGAGAAATATCCTACCAAACTAGTAGAATTTACAAACTAACAAAAACATGGCGGTTCTAAGCGAAAAACCTGCTAAATCTGTTCGGCCAGTTTGCAGCTCAATGAGTCGCTACTTTGTTGATCAACACGAAGAAAAGCCTTTCTAGTCTAGGAGCATATGTAAGAAATACGGCTCCCGTGGGAAGTTCGTGTTGAAAGCAAGCAACTGGTCTAGAAGTATTAAGAAGACCTCAAATTGTAAGTTTTGTAACCGAGGCTTTCAGGGGTTAAAAATTAGCCTAATAGACTATGCATCAAAACGAGGTTGGGGAATAAAATGTCTTGCAACTTTACAAACAGTTGATAAAATGACACCAAAATAACAGGACATGTAAACCTCGATGTTGTCAGTTTTTTTCCATAGCCAGTGCGACACTTCACTAGTCACGTGACGAAGCGAGCATGAAAGCGAGGCTTAGAAATGAAACTTCGTATACCTTTAATAACTGTGGATAAAACGAAACCAAAATAACAGGAGACATACAACTCAATGTTTCCAGTGTCAGCCTAAGCCAATGGTATACGACACTAGTCACGAGACGAATCTAACATGAAAACGAGGCTGCTAGATAAAGCTTCTTGCAGTTCGTGTAACTGTGAATAAACCAAAACCAAAATAACGGGATATAAAACCCAATGTTGTGAGTGTTTGCCTAACCCAGTGGGACCCTGCCACTAGTCACGTCACACACTAGCATGAAAGCGAGGCTGAGCAATAAACGTATTTTAACGCTGGCCGCCTGATAACGCTATCAACTGTGGGTAAAACGAAACCAAAATGACAGGGAATATGAACCTCAATGACTTCAGTTTTGGCCTTTGGCAAACACGCACTCACTACTGGCTGAATTCGGTATTCTCTGGCATATTACGTGTCTAATCACGTGGCCAAAGTGACACAGAAATGTGCTGATGGTTTGTAAAATTTTTAACGTCGATTAAGATACTGTATTTACATCCAGCATCCAATGTTTTACAGATGAGAGATCGATGTTTCAGCTGTGGTGTACAAGAAATTTTGTGACCAGACCAGGATATGAGATGCTGACGAAATAGTTAATAGCTAAACTCTTTTCACTGTGAAGTGGTCAGCTAAGTAAAATGCTCATACAGAAATATTTCAGTGTGTCCAACACGAATTTTGTGTTACTTTCACTATCTTCCTATGAAACCTAGTCATAAAAATCTTCCTCTTCATCTTCATCGTCATCATCATCATCATCATCACCATCGTCATCATCACCACCGTCATCATCACCATCGTTGTCTTGCATATTTTTACAAAGTTTCCCCTTGTCTGAACAACTACATAAATCGGTGCAGTTTAGTCCATGCTTTTCTACATTGGCAGCGTTTTGCTGAGCATAGGTAATTGCGTCTGTAGCGGGTGTTATACGTAGTCTCGTCATGACAGGCACCCATCAATTTTCATTCGCTGTCAAGCCAAAGGTTTCTGGAGTGGAATTGGCGACCTCGTCATAATTTCACACTAGAAGTTGATAGTGAGCTATTAAGATTGCTTGACTTGCAGCTTGGGTTGGTGGTAGCCTCTCTGACTGGGCTTGCTTCTTTCGAAACAACCACCCACCATCTCAGCTCTTTCACCGTACAAATATATGTCCTTGGTACATACAGCTGGCACACAAACTTCTCAATTAAGGCCATCATCTTTCTGCTTGGAATTGCACTTACTCCAAGATCTGAAAAGCCACTGATGACTTCTTCATTAGCTTCTATGAA